TGTGGGGGCTGAGGGGATCAAGCCTTCACTGTCAAAGATCCAAGCGATTTTGAATTGGCCAACACCAGAGAATGTTACCGACGTCCGTTCATTTTTGGGGTTGTGCAGTTTTTATCGCAAGTTCATACGGTGGTTTAGCGAGCTGGCAGCGCCCATGACGGACTTGACGAAGAAGGACAGAGCCTTCGTTTGGAATGATGAAGCAGAAAAATCATTTAATCGCTTGAAGACAACCATGGTGACTGCACCAGTTCTGCAGTTACCGGACTTCGACCGGGAGTTTGTGGTTACCACAGATGCATCAGGCGTTTCAGTGGGTGGTATACTACAACAGGACTTTGGCAACGGGTTGCAACCCGTTTGCTATGAGAGTAGAAAGCTCAACCCGGCCGAGACCCGGTACAGTGCATACGAACGAGAACTACTGGGCATCACTTGGGCTGTTGGGAAATGGCGGCACTACTTGGCCAGTCGCCACTTCGTCATCCAAACAGATCATGACTCCTTGAAGAACCTGCCCAACCAGCCTGCAGTGAACAGGAGGGTATGGAAATGGGTACAGGTTCTGCAGGGCTACGATTGTGATATTGTCCACATACCAGGAAAGGATAACCCTGCAGATTTTCTGACGCGCAGGAGTATTGAGGAGTTGAGATGCATGGCAGATGTGCGCGCAGAAGAGGAGTCATTGGTCCAGCGTCTTCGTCTTCATGAGGGTGACAGCGGGGAAAACGATATTCAGAAGAAACTGGACGAAATATTTAAAAAGTCCAGTCTTGAGGGTGCAGTGGTGGCTGCAAGTGGGGAACAAAATTCTTTACATTCTTTATTGTTGACCAGCACCAGGATTACTCTGGAGGAAGACTTGAGGAGCTCTATAAAAGAGGGCTACAAGCAAGACAACAGATGGGCAGAAGTTTTGAACCAGTTGGAATCTGCCCAAGGACGAGTCACCAGGATCGGGAGTCGTGATTACCGATTGAACCATGGATTCATTGAAATCAAGTTGAAGGACAACACCGAGGACTGGCAACCTTGGAGATTGGTGGTACCAGATGTGGAGGACACCCGCAAGAAGATTATGGCAGAGATACATACAGTACCATATGCGGGACATCTTGGTTACCACAAGACACTCAAGAAATTACAGCAGAATTTCTACTGGCCAGATCACACAGTGGATGTACGAGATTTTGTGTTGGGATGTGAGGTCTGCCAGTCAGAGAAGAGTGTCCACAAGTTGCCAGCAGGACTCCTTTAGCCGTTGCAACTTTCAGAGGAAAAATGGAGTGATGTCAGCCTCGACTTCATCATGGGTCTACCGGTCAGCGAAAGGAAAAACGATGGGATCCTCACGGTTGTAGACTGAGCTACTAAGATGGTACACTTGGTACCAGTCCAGCAGACCATTACTGCTGCTGAGACTGCTCGAGTCTACTGGGAACAGATTGGACGACTTCACCGGATCCCCAGATCGATCGTCAGTGACCGAGATCCACGATTTGTATCAAAGTTCTGGCAGGAATTCTGGAAGATTTTGGGCAGCAAGCTGAGGATGTCCAGCGCTCACCACCCCCAGACAGATGGACAAACAGAGGCAGCCAATAGGGTGGTGGAGCAAGTCCTCAGGTGTACGATCCATGGCAGTCAGGAAGTCACTCATTGGGAGAAATACTTGCCCATGGTGGAATTCGTGATCAACAGCAGCACATCGCCGTCCACGGGGTACACACCTTTTTATCTGAACTATGGCTTTGAGCCAGTGACCCCGTTGGATCTGATCAAGGATGTAGACCATACCAGCATTGAAGGTGTCAACGTCTTTGTCAGCAGGATGAAGAAAACATTCAGAAGGGCGATGCAATCAGTTCATCAGGCTCAGTAGAGGCAGAAACGTCAGGCCGATCAGCGGCGCAGAGAGCAGAGGTTTCATAATGGGGAATAAGTGCTACTCAGTACAGAGCATCTACAGTTGAAGAATGCACCTATTCGCAAACTGAAGCGATGGTTCGTAGGACCATTTGCTATGGTCCGTCAGGTGGGATCAGTGGCCTACGAATTGAAGCTACCAGCGGGGTGGAGGATTCATAACGTCTTTCACACCAGTTTGCTTAGACCATTTAGATCGTCCAGATGGTCATCCCCACAGGAGTCAGAGGACGCCGAGATCGAGCCAGAAGCCGATGAACCGTACGAAGTTGAGAAGCTGCTGCGATGGAGATGGGCAGGACCCAGTGGCAGGAGGCATAAGGAGTTTTTAGTGTTATGGACAGGGTGGAGTATTGATGATGCCTCCTGGATACCTGCTGGAAATTTCACCTATGCACGTGAACTTTAGAAAATGATCAAGAGGGGCAAGCCCGAGGAAGACACTAGTATGGGATAGTGTGCTTTCGGGGGCGAAAGCTACCCCAAGGGGGGAGTAATGTGACGTGCTTACTTGGGGTTAGGCTAAAATTGACATTTCTGAAGCGGCGGTTGGTTCAAAAAGTGAAATACGTTGAAATCAGCTTATTCAGAAGCTCCTGATGCCAATAGCGACTTGAAACATCCAATTCCGTGTAGAAACGGCGAAGTTATGGCCATTTGAAGTTGCAGTACTTTAGCATGGGATTCGGACCGGGAGATCGAAGCATCGGGGATTATGCGGAGCTGATTTAGGTGAACGGTGGACGGTGACGATGTGCCTGGACGCGCACTTGTGTTGTCTTGTCTTGATGTGACAGCGATGGACCCGCGATCGGGCATCGCGCATGCAGATTTGTGCGCGCGCATGCAGGGAATTCGTGTAACCGTTCTGGCCCACTGTCTGGTCTCTCCGCGACCAGCGAGCCACCGACTGGCTGCGCCACCACCCGCCGCATACAGCAGGCCCCGGGGGACGATCCCCATCGTTCTGGGCCCACCGCGCATCCGAGGGAACGAGCGCCCCGCTTCCGCCCACCGAAATCGGTGGAGAGGGTTGGCTGACCTCCAACAGCCAAGCCGCAGGGCGTGGCGACCCCACGAGCTTCGGAAACCAGCGGCGCCCTTCAGGGCCGCAACAATTGCAAGTTAGACTATGGTTCATCAGCCCAATTGGGCAGCCACACAATGGTCTTTGAACAAATGTCAATTATGAGATAAAGAATAGACTCAACAAATATATATCAGAGTTCTTGGCAACCTTCCCAGAAACTGAAAATATGATATGAACACTTGGAGTATAATTCACACCTAACTGACACTTTTTAGAGTTGTGATTAGTCAATTTTATAAATCGACTTTTCAAAGAGCTTATTCAGAACTTCTTGATGCTCTTAGGCTTTTGAAACGCCCAAATTCGTTAGAAAATAAAGAAATTATGGCCCTCTAAAATTTCAGTACTTAGGGGCCTTAGAAAAAGAGGTTAGTACTCAAGTCAGTGGGGAAACGTGCCGGTCTTAGGTGAATAGGGGATGGCAATGATGTGCCTGGATGCGCGCGTATATTGTCTTGTTATGATGTGACCACGGTAGATCCGCGATCGGGCATCGTGTATGCAATATGTGCCCGAGCAGGTTGTGAATCTATATAAAACTCTTTCACCCATTCTCTGGCCTTTTGTGAGCCAACGAACCACCGCCTCGCTGTGCCACCACTCTCGATAACAGCAGGCCACGGGTGTTGCGGCCCCATTGGCAGCCGCTGGTTTCCGGAGGCGTTGGGGTCGCCCTGCCCTGTAGCTCGGCTGTTGGAGGTCAGCCGGCCCTCTCCACCTTGGACGGTGGGCGTATCCGGGGCAGTCGCTCCTGTGGTCGCGCGGTGGGCCCAATGCTCGACGGGGATCGATCCCCAGGGCCTGCTATCGGCGAGAGGTGGCGGCGTAGCGAGGCGGTGGTTCGCTGGCTCGGGGGAGGCCAGAGAGTGGGCCAGAACGGTTACACGATTCACAGCATGCGCGCGCACAAATCAGCATGCGCGATGCCTGATCGCGGGTCCATCGCTACCACATCAAGACAAGACCAGTCAGGTGCACGTCCAGGCACATCGTCACCGTCCACCGTTCACCTACGATCGACCTAATGTCCTCTAATTCCAAGCATCTAACACCCGACCCCTTGGCCCTAAGTACTACAACTTCAGGAGGCCATATCTTCGCCGTTTCTTAACGGAATCGGGCGTTTCAAAGCTCATTGGAACCAAGAAGCTCTTAATAACACTCACAAAAGTCGATTTACCTAATTACTTAATTCCCACTCCAGAAATGTCAAATAAGCCTAAACCCCAAGCAACCACGTCACAACGGGGATCGATTCCGGTTGAGCATTGAGCCCACCACGAGACCACCGAATCGACTACCCTAGATACGCCCACTGTCCAAGATGGAGAGGTTGGCAAACCTCCAGTGGCCATGCTGCAGGGTAGGGCAACCCCAACGCCTCGGGAAACCAGTGGCCGCCGATGTGGCCGCAACATGTAATGTAGTAATTCCATAATAAAACCAACCAACATTAACTATGGACACAACCATCGGTGCTCTTTCAGCCCTTGTTCGAATAAATGGGTCGTTTGGATTGTTCCCTAAAAGTGTCTACAATCAAATCTGCAGTCTATGTGATAAAATCACCTTCATTCTACTAGCAAGTACCACTTGAACAAACTCCTTGAGTACAATGGATGTTTAAGCCCTTGTGTGCATACTAACGTAGCACTTGACCCTTTTTTTGCAGAGAAAAGAATAAACCAAACAACGCTCTTTCAATAGCAATTTGTGGAGCAACGTAAAAACATGAAAGTAACGCTGTGAAAAACAAAATGCGGAGCAAAAACCGTAACGGTAAAATTTTCCGATGTAGATCGGCTGAAAACCCACGGTGCCACTGCAGTTTCAGCAAAGCGCGCACAGATAACCGATACACAGTGTCCCAGTGGCCTGCCGACTCGGTGCCAGGTCGCAACGCCCATCGAGACGAAGGCCGGGCGCTTCGCGCTGCCTGCTGCAGCGATACTCCGGCTGCCGACGCCAACCGGAACAGCGCATGGATCTGATCGCCGGCTACAGGTACGGCGCCTTCGAAGGCGGCACGCGCATTTTCACGGGAATCTGTGCACGCTGCACCGTTCACGATCTTTCGAGGAAAAGAGGAAGGAGTTGCTCTGGGAACACCCTGTAAGCTGCTGAGGTATCGCCGCGCACCTGCTGGGCGCGACTGCTGCCAAGCGGAGGGGGCTCGATGGTTGCTGACCGGTTGTGGGACCGGACGGGGGGAGAGTCTGGGGAGATTGGAGCTGCGTTGGCGTCCGGCTGGGCGCAGAGGTGGGGTTGACCGGGCGGCGGGGAGCGTTGCGTTGTGGCGTGGGCGCCTGGCGGGCATTTGATGTCGTTGAGTAACTTGGCGGGAGGGTGGGTGGGCGGAGCAGGGGTTGCGATTTTTGCAATCAAGAGAACATGAGGTCATACAATAGGGGCGAGAGTGGGAAGTGGGGGGCAGCGATGAGAAGAGATGAAAGAGGCTCCAGCTGGCCGTGACGGACGTCCCTCGCAGCCAGCTGGAACTTGGCACCTGCTGGATCCAGGGGCGGCATCTTGTGCGATGGGGTTCTTTGCTGTCTGTTGAGGAGATCGGATGTTTGATAGGCCGCCCATGAACCAGGGCTGACTGGTTAGATGCAGGCAGGCGGTGGAGTGTTTGCCTTAAGGTGCTCCTCAGGCTGCACGATGCAAGAGAAGTGGGCCTGCGCGCTGGGTTGTGGGTGCCTCATTTCCCTTGTGATTGAGATCTTGGGTGCAGGTCCAGGCTTGTTGGGGATACCAAACAATTTTCTCTCTTTGAGTGCCAAAGTGGATTGTTTCGATGTACTTGAGCGAAAAGGGGTTGAGCTGGCCAATATGTCACTTTCCAGAAACAGCAACAGAACAGCATGTCATCAAGGATCGTTGTCCACTGCATCATTTTAGTTTGCGACACAAACGTATGCGAGCCAACACGAATGGGTGGAACTTCAAGCTTGTGCATCTCTATTTCAGATGTGCGCATATCTGTAGAAGAAGGTATTTCCAGTACACAAGCAGAATACTAATGATGAAGTTTGGTTTTGTTAGTGGCGAGCAAGTAGGAAGTCTATGTGGACAAGATAGGCAGTCTTGTGAATGTGATCAGCACTCAGTCCCTGGTCAGTGACTGATTGATGATGCACTCATGGAAAGGGAGTTATCAGTCCTCATTCCTCTACATAGAGAACGCTATTTATGTTTGTGCCATCTGTGTGCAGATTATTTGATCCATGACAAGTCTCAAATATTCAAACCAGTGCTCATGCATGGCAACCCTATACTCCATCCAGGAGTTGCCAACTCTGTCCCCAGTGGCAATTTTGACACTGCTCTTTGCCGGCTTTAAGGAGAACTCAATTTGTTGTTCAGAGTCATCTTTGTACAAGAAAAATGAGAGTGCATGCACCCTTGTGAGCCACAGCAACGACATGACCAAGGGAGTGTCGAGATGCTAGTGGCCTAGACAATTCTTTCTTTCACTATCCTTTTGAGCAATGTGAAGCACAACACATTGGCCATGGCAAATGCGTCTGCTCAACTGGAACGATTAGACAGCATCTGCAAGGATCTCACAGTGCCTGTCAAACGATTGCCTAACCCTCACATCATCAAAGCAGACAATATATTCAGGCACCCCTAATAGCAAGTAAGAAAGTATCAAGTGAAGATGCCACAGGAGGACAAACTGAGCAAAATTGCCTGTTCCATTCTTTTTGCATTCATTGATCAGATGCAAGTGTCATAACTGTGCATTGCAACAGTGAAAGCACCCAACAGGTGGTTAGCAAGAATGTAAGGAAACAGGTCCTTACAACAGTTTTGCGCATTTATAATTGTGACTGGTGGCAATTCAGGAGCGATGGAGCTCCAGAAGACAGTGGTCCAAGTTCCAGTGGTCGTCATGACGATGACTCTGACTTCCAGATGGATGAAACGCTTGGCAATGTGTCTGCAGCTCCAGAGGTAGGCAGTCATCGATGTCCGCGCAGCGCACTGTGTATTGTGTGACACTGGGGTGCAACTGATACTCTTTGACTGCATTTGTCTTGCCATGCTGTTCACCAAGGCTGTGTGTGCCTTTGCCCAAATGTTCTGGCTGCTATGGTGGTCGCCCACGTCCGATAGGTCCTGACAACAGAGTAATAGCAAACATCAATGAACAGTTTGCACCCCAAGGAAGTGATTGATGGTTACAGTGCCTAGTCGTTGGGGTGGGCAATGGTATCCTTGCTTCAGGGTGCCTGGTGATTCTTTTCACTTTGGAGACCAATTTGAGTTTTTTTGCTGCTGAGAACATCACTGTACATGCATCTTCAGGTGGACACCACAGGGTTGACATTGGTCGATGATCAGGTGGTTCCCCGATCAACAGTTTTCCAATATCCAGGTATTTTCGTGTGAAACTGACCTAGGGCACTTGTTGTGCAGCATAGCCAGCAGTTTTTTTGCATGCTGTGCTCAAATTTTATTGCCCACTATAATGGGCACCCAACTGGTTGACTGATCCGCGTCATCTTGCATTGTGGGGTTTTGCGGACAAATAATGTTTGTAGAAATTAGATTTATTATTTATAGTGTACCACACTTAGGTAGGAGTCCAGGCGGCTTGCCTGCCACAACAAAGAACATGCAGGGTGCATTGTGATGCTGTGTGGCAACAATGGAGTGCAATTGATTAAATTGATACTGAACTCTGGTGATGCACAGTTCTGGATGTGAAATGTGCCAGTATCACCTGCGCACTGCAGGCAGGCATACACATCTGTTTGGACAGATGCATGCAAATTAGATTCTATTGTGCCTGCTCACAACTGTGGACACCATCTGCACTGCTGTTGCAAGAAAATTGTGTGAAATCTGCAGTGCGAAACACATCCTTTGTTCTGTGGCTTATGTACTGCTTGAAATTCGCCTGCAGTAGATAACTCAATCTGTGTGCTGTTGCTGTACTGCTTCATGTCTCTGGAGCTTGAAACTGACAGAATGTTCAGATCCCCATGCCAGGAAGATATACCACAACCCAAGATATGAGGAACTGGGTGCGCCAGTAGTAGGTAGGATTGGGGGTTGTGTGCATTGGGCAAAACACAGGCGCTGGTTGCCATATTTTCCATGTTTACATGCGCCCCATCAGCTTGTGCAAACTGGGGAGTTCTTGCTTGATTTGTCTCGCACACTGTTGCTATCCAAGTTTTAAAGAATATTGACAAAAACAGTGCAAGAGTTGCAACTGCTGAAGGCATTTATGTAACCATTGTGCACACAGGACCTGCCAATCCTGCTGACAGAGGGAGGACTCCTATTGGCCTGCAGAACCACAGAGCAGGAATGGTGGAGGTATGACAAGCACCCCATTCCTCTAGAAACAAACTGCGCTGAAATGGGGTGCAACCAAGTCATGCATTATCAGTTTTGTTCATACCATGTTTTGGAAATCCCTGCCCCGCTGCCAGTTGGTGCAGGATGAGTGTTGTTGTGCTTGAATTCCAGTGGAGATCTTGGCCGTTTGTCAATGCTTGGAGTGTCGTGCTGACGAGGGCTAGGACGAGTTTTGCCTTCCACTTGAAATCGCGCTCTGTTTTGTGCGTTGCTGATGCTAGAACGAGGCTAGTGCACAGGACTGATGGTCTATTTGCAGTGGCCTCTGTGAATTTCTGGTTCAGGAATTATGGCCAGGATTTCTGTGGCCATGGTAACCGATGCAGGCAGTGCTGCAACACAGTCTTGTGCATCCGAACAAGGAGGCTTTAGAAGTGTGTTGCCTGTACTGGGGCAAACCTGAAATTGATAATGGCAGGGGGATTCCGAAATGGGTTTGTTGAAAGGGTGCTGTCCAATTGTCACTCCCTGTACCCTATGAGTTTCACTTGTGGCCCACACACTCTTGTGGTTTCCGTGCAGGACGCACACTTGGCATCGTTTGTGTTCGATGAGCAGCACAACACTTTCCACAGGTGAGTGCCTTGCACTCCTGCACAAGTGCATTCAGAAATCCGAAGTCAGGCCCGAGCACCTCCTGTCCACAGAGAGGCTGGTGATCGGAGAGCAGGCTCAAGAACTAGGACTTATGGCCCGGTGACAAGTGTAGACATGTTTTGGCTGATGGCTGGAATATGTGCTCAAGGCGGAGACATGGCGCTTTCCTAGTGTGTGCCATTCCCTGTTGTCTTATCAACAACAGCAGACTGTGCACTAATTTTCTGCTGATCTGGATTGGCGGGCTCCATCGACATGCACTGCTTAGTTGGCTACCAGGCCCAGCACGCTGCCTGCAATATCCCTGTTGCTCCAAGGATTTGGAACGGTTTCTTTCGGCACACACATATGCCACTGTCCCTGTAGATATGGCAGATTCCTGTTTGAAAAGTGCATCTCAACATGCACAGGCATGACAGTGAAAGTCAAATTTCTTGCACCATGCCCTCTGATATTGCCCGATGGATGATTTTGGTGTTTGCTGGTTCTCCGCTAGAATTCCATCGTTGCGCGCATCGGTTGCCTGCAACTAGACTGGTCTTGTTTCTTTGTGCTTTTCCCATTATGTGTCCATTGCAGTAAGCATGTTTGGCTTTTGAATTCAGCTGCAATGAATCACAACTCCCAACATGTGACACTCTCACATTTGAGGAAGAATTGCCAACAGGAAAAGATGGATGTGTGGAAATCCAATGTCGTTACATACTGGCAGGCTGCCATGTCAGCTCACTCGGTGTAATTTACACGACCGTACGTTGGTGTCAGTATCTCAAAGCAATCAGTGTTCTTCAAATCACTGACGATGTGATTTATGCTGTGTTTGCCTGCAGTTATGGATACTCCATGGATCCTTCAGGAGAGGGCATGGTTGGAAGTTCCGATGCATGGACTGCCAAGAAAGGTGCCAGCTCTGTTGCCAGCCCGTACCAGATGCTCACCTACGATGGGCATGGTCCACTCCAGTCGCTGTCTTGCCTTCTGAGAGTAGACAAAATAAGTGACTCGTGTGAACAGCATCCCTTTTCAGTTTCTAGCAACCACAGGTTGATGGAGATGGAATGAATGTGTCTGCCAGGGTAGTCCAGACTGTCATCATCAGTGTGCTGTGCGGCCTGTGTGGATCATTTGCAATTTTCTGGGGCAGGCATGGACGGGATAGTGGTCAGAGATTCAAGCATCTGCACTTTAAGAGCGTGCCCTCCAAAGCCCAGGGCTACCATCGCCCTCTTCCACCTGCAGGGGCGACAGCATAGTGGCCCATGACCAAGACATGGGCAATCTCTGTAGGGAAGCAATGCCTTGCAATATGCAACCATTGCTGTGGCTGCAATGATTGCACTGGGAGCATTGGCATTATTACAGTCTTGTATTGTGCCTGGACACAGTTGTGACAACTGGTGGCACCACATGTTCTGAGACTTGAGGAGTGTCACTCATCCTCGTCCTCCTGTGCAAAGGACTCCTGTGGTGTCATCACTATGGCTGTGATCGCGTTTGTTGCCTGCCACAAGGTAGCCTTCCTTGTCTGCTATTGATAAGGTTTGAGAGGGCGGGGTGAACGCATCTGGTGCTGCTGCGCAGGAGAGACTGTGTACAGTATACAAGGATCGCAACTAAAAAAGAGAAGACAAACGACGGCAGAGAAACGAGCGGAGCGCACTGCGAAAAGCAAGCGCCTGGAGGAGGGCCCTGCACAGGGTGAGAAGTGGACCCTAGAAGCCAGGCAGCCATGGGCTGAAAAGGAAGCCCAGGTTGTGGCATTAACTGAGGAACAGGAGGCCTTCATGGAGACAGTCAGGTGAGTTTGACACTGAGATTCAGTGATTGCAATGGACGAAGAATGGCAGTGTGCTGCTCGTTCGCCTTGAAGGGGATGCTCAGCTGTTCAGCGTCCATCCAACCGCTACAGGCAAGGGGGCATGACAAGATGTGTGCAGTTCCCAGTGCTCGAGCCACCTGTTTTGGGGCCGATCTCTTGCTTGACTGCAGTTCAAAGAGCAGAAGATGGAAACCTAAATTGTCCTGGTGGGGACAGGGCTGGGAAGTCAATAGTTTCCAGCATATAGCTATGAGGACAGGGACCCTGTTTGACAACGATGATGCTAAGACAGGAGAAGATCAAGAGTGGATCTTTTGCTGACAACAAGAATGTCTGAACAGCATTTGTGCAGATGCATCATGTGGTGTGGAGCATTGGTTGAAGTGTGAATCCCCTGCACTGAGTGATGAAAGGGGTCCCAGCAGAAGACCTGGAATATTGTCTGTGTGCACACTGCCAGCATGGATGCCCCAGCTTCACCCCAATCCCTGCTCACTGAAGTTGTCCCCCAAGTTCATGTCAGGATGGACCAGCCTCTCCGGGTTGAATAGTGCAGAACTGTACAGGCAGTCGGAACATGTTGATTCACAATGGAAAGATGTGTCGTGCTATGTTTGGCGGGAGAGACCTTGTTCCGTTGATTGCATCTTCAATTCAGGCTTTGTTTCAATCGTGTCTACCTATGGAAAGGGCAACGCAGAATTGAACTAACACAAGGTTTTGCAGGCACCGTTGCATGTGTCTCCTGCTGTCAAAGGCCAGACTGACACGGTATCCATATTATGGCATTCTGTTCGATCAGGGAAGAGAAGGCTGCATCAAGCTCCAAACAGGGCCCTGAAGAAAGAGAAGCCAAAAGTTTTTTCCATGGAAAAGAGGAGCACGATTACTCTGGTGTGTGGGCTGTGTTTCCCTTCTTTGGATCGAGTTTGGGCTGGGATTAACAGCACCAGCAGCTTCGGTTTCACAAGCGTGATAAGGCCCCCACGCACTACCCATCCTATTTGAAACTGCATTACTTCCTCCGTCCCAGATTAATTGTCGTCTATTTGAAAGGCTAAATGCATTGTGAGGACAACCTCAGATTTTCAAAACAAGATCACAATCGAAAATATTGCATCTCACAACCCTTGACTATCAATTTTCAAGAAGAAAAAATGAGATATGACTCTTTTGAGCGCAAGGCGAAGGTAAATTTTGGTCATTTTTGACCCCCCAATATTGAGATTTACTATATAAAAAGAGCCTTGATACAAAGCACTGCCAAATCCTCCATACTTAATTGATTGACTTGAAATTTTTTATGGTGTACTTCCAACTCAGAAACACAACCGTAGACGAAATTTGATTGAAAACAGGTGCGAGGATTTTGTAGAAATAATGCCCCAAACTCATAGACGACAATTAATCTGGGACGGAGGAAGTGTTTTGCTGAAACGAGATTAGCACAGTGACAGCGTTGGTCCGGGGAAAGCCTGCATCAGCAATATGCTGTGTGATGATACGGGACCATTTCGCATATTCTCAACAGTGCTGTTGGCCATTCCCAACCAGTGAGCAGCATCTCAAATTTCATGTCCCCGGCTGCGACCCGCTGAAAGAGGTCCTTGCCGATGACAGGACGGTCCTGGCTGGCACCCCCCCGGGACAAGAAGAAGGAGAACGACTACTGCTACCTGCCCAAGCGCTGGATACACACCTGGTCGGGCCACACCAAAGGCGTCAACGCCATTCGTTTCTTCCCCATCTCTGGTCATCTACTGCTGTCCGCTGGACTCGATGGCCGGGTCAAAATTTGGGACGTCTTCAACACCCAGAAATGCATGCGCACCTATCTTGGGCACAGCAAGGTGCGGTGCGAGCGGTTCGGCTTCATCTGGGAACATGAGTCCGCCCTGTTGATGTTGCTCCCCACCAAGAGCATGTCTCCTTGCTTTCCAGCCGCTGTTGCATGCTGCCGCGGAAAAAGGCTCAGTACATGGTTCCTGCTCCAGTATGGGACTCCCACTGTGAGAACAGCGCTGCACCATGCTGTTGTTCTGTGCGGATAGAGTGCCGAGGTTCTATAAGTGCTTCTGGCAGGGCGGTTGACATGGTGCTCGTCTGGCGCCTATCGCCCGCTCTGCTTGGCTGCTAAGCTCATCGCACTTTGACGAATGGAAATACTGTTGCCGTTCGCAGCAAACGCCTTAGAGAGTAGAAGATATTTCTTACAGTAGTCTCCCCTGCAATCTTTTGTTCCACACTGCGTTGCTTGATTCATATGACGCCGAAGTCAATGCTCACACCAGTGTGCAGAAGTCACAAGGCTGAACGTGTGCGCTCCACGCTAGAGATTGAGATCTGCCAACCGTCAGGACAGCCGTCCAACCGACGCAAAGCCCAGCCCACAGGCTGTTCTGCGTCCGCTCAACTGTCAAACCATGATGCGCCGATTACTGTGTTATCCCCTCACCAAAACTGTGTCTCGGCAGTGAAAATGGCGCTGAAAAGAGGTGGCTCAGATGAAAAGGGTAGCTCCATTTTAACGCGGGTTTGAACCACCGATTCCGATTGTCAGGCACGCGAGGCGATGCGCAAAACGCATGCGATTGCATGGCGTGCGATGGCCGCCTCATGGCCGGTGCCTTTGGACCCGGGGGTCCCCACTGACGCCTCCCCACCCACCACCAGGGCGTGAGGGACATCTGCTTCAGCAACGACGGCCGCCGCTTCGTCAGCACGGGCTATGACTGCAACATCCGCTGCTGGGACACCGAGACGGGCGCCGTGCTGCGCACCCTCAACAACAAGCGCGTCTTCTACGTGGTCAAGCTGCACCCCGACGACGCCAAGCAGAACGTGCTGATGGGCGGCTGCGCGGACAAGAAGGTGTACCAGTGGGACCTGGACACCGGCGACCTCATCCAGGAGTACGACTACCACCTGGACGCCGTGAACACCATCACCTTCGTGGACGAAGGCCGGCGGTTCGTGACGTCCAGCGACGACAAGACGCTGCGCGTGTGGGAATTCGGCATCCCCGTGCAGATAAAGTACATCGCCGACCCCTCTATGCACTCCATACCCTCCATAGCCCTCCACCCCACGGGGAACTACTTCTCCGGCCAGTCGCAGGACAACCAGGTGGTGACGTACTCGACCAAGGAGCGCTTCAGGCTGAACCGGAAGAAGACGTTCAAGGGGCACATGAGCGCGGGTTACGCCTGCCAGGTGAATTTTTCGCCGGACGGGCGGTTCGTGATGAGCGGGGACAGCGACGGGCGGTGCTTCTTCTGGGAGTGGCACAACCCGCGGCGGGTGGTGCGCACGATCAAGGCGCACGAGGAGGGGGTGTGCATCGGCTGCGAGTGGCACCCGATGGAGACCAGCAAGGTGGCGACGTGCGGCTGGGACGGCCTGATAAAGTACTGGGACTGAGGGCCGGGTGGGGAGAGGACCTTGGGAGGTCTGGAGGGCGGGCGACGTGCGGTGTTGAGTCGTTGATCGCGGGGATTTTGTCGGGCGGAAGTGCCAAGTGGCTGCCTGTCCGTGTCAAGCATTTGGTTCTGTGGATTGCGTCGTTGTGCGCGTGGCGCCCAGTATCTGCCTGGTGGACGGCTTTGTCTGCGACCAAGGAGGGCCATTGGCTTGAATGGGAAAGCGGTCCTGCGCATGGGCTCCGTTGAGCACTCCTACTTGCTGTATTTCCTCTGACGTCTCGACTGGGGCGTGGAACTCGTGGAGCCAGCACAGACGGACAGCGATTCGTGGGACCTGCGTGGGACCCACCAGAGCGTGATTGACGCCTGGGGGCTGGTACGCCACAGGGCGCCACGGCACCGCTTGTGTGTAGTTTAAGATGGCTTTAAATTGACAAGGTTTGGCTCCTTACCCGGCTTTCCTGAAACTGCAATGGCGGTTGGTGGCCAACCGCCTGAACGGGATATGAGCGAGCGCGAACTAGGCAATATGGCCCGCGCACATCAAGGTATTGAAGTGAAGCGCGCAAGTGAACGAAGGCTCGCCACCACCCCATCGATGTGGCCTCGAAGTGGCGCTGCCGTGGGCGCTGCTGCGGCCGTGGGGACGGCTGCTGTGGGTGGCTGTTTGAGCAAGCCAGGTGCTCAGGAGGCGTTGTCCCGCCGTTCCCTTTTTCAACTAGGGACTAAGGAACAGGCAGCGCACAAAGGCGGATGCCAGTTTTCGGCAGCAGATTTTATGGGAAACAATTTTTGCGCCCCGCACGTTTTGCAGAAAAAACAACTGCTTAAGGGGGAAAGCTTTTCGCACACCGTACATTTTTCAATATTCAGTACTTCTTGCCTACTTGCAGTTCCATTGCTGCTGTATCGCTGTATGCTCCAATGCGCCCTTCTTGGTGCTGAGCAACACTGAGTGTTTGCGCCAATCACTGGCCGGTTGACAGGTTTGTGTTTACTGATCGTCAGTCATCAAATGTCGGTCTTGCTTCAATGTTCGATACGAGTAGTCAGCACGACCACCGACGATTAATAATGGCGACGCCGCCTGCATCCGTCACGCGCCGTTAGGTCGCTGACTGGTTCGCCACTAGGGAAGCTGTGCAGTGGTGGGGTCCGGGAACGAGCCGGAGACGACAGCGCCACAGACAGATGGCATAAGATTACTCCCCGTTCTTGTTTGCTGAGATTCGGTTCTTGTTTTCGGACACCCTAAACCCCAACTACTGATCCACGCACCGGGACTGGCCTTGTCAGCGGAACAAGAACCGAATCTCAGCAAACAAGAACGGGGAGTAATATATTCTCCAGACGGATCCCCAACAGCAATGTACCTTTGCTGCGGACGTGCCATCTATTCAGCCCAGGCGTCATGATGATGTCACCGCAGCCCCCAGCCCGCCCCCTCACATTCGTGATCGCAACAAATGAAAGGCCCATTTGGAAGTCCACGGGCGCCCTCCCGGCGGCAGTCCTGCCACTGCATCACATGCCGACGGTGCCTTCCATGTAGCCGCTTGCCGGAGCCGCCCTGTCACATCCCCCCGCCCGTCCCACCTCCCACAGCCGCCTTAACAGCAACGCTCTTGGGACGGCGGCGACGCAAGCAGGTTTGCCAAAACGGCCTCGAAGGGCACCCGGACCCAGGGGCCACGCGCTCCGCTGGAAACCGGCCCTGGACGGAGAGCGGCGGGGCGCCGCGCCGGCGCACCGTCGGAGGCACGGAGACAAGCTGCGCCCGTTGTTGGCTCCCCGGCGGCTGAGGCGCAGGGGGCAAGGATCGACGACCGGGGGGACGGCGAACGCGAGGCGACTCGCCCAAGGTGCGCGATCGGCGTCGAATTTTCAGCGCAAGGCCGGCGTGGCCACCATTGTCGGCTCGAGGGGCTTGTCCGCGCCGGCCGCGTGGCTGCGCCAGTGGTTTTTCCGCCTTGATTGGGCGCCAGAACAAAACTTAAAACTGGCGCGAGGCGCCGCCCTCGCGCGAGCGCATTGTCGCGCCTTCGCCGGTGTCTGCCGGGCCGGTTGCTGCGGCTACGCCTAACGTCAGGCTGGAGGCTCCTCGGCCCTCGAATCTGTCCCCTAGCGCCAGTCTCCGTTGCACCGCCGCTGGTTGATCCATTCCACACATTCCCCACCCAGCTGCAAAAGCCTCCTTCACGCGCCCCCCGTGCGTTACTGCCCGGGCTTGCTGACTCCAGGCCCTCGAGCGCCGCCGCGGCGAGCCCCGTGGCGGGAGTTGCACGCAGCGGCCGCTGCTGCTGCCGTAGAGGCCGCCAGATCCTCGAAGAATTACGTGGTGGCCGCGGAGCATGCTCGGAGTCAACGTGATGGGCGCTTTTGCAAGCGGGGTGCCACGGCATTGGGCAGCGGGCCCCACGTGCCCCCCAGCGGCCCCGCCAGCCCGAGCAGAATGTTCCACCACAGGCCCTGATCCGAGGATTGCGCTTGGATGCCGTGCCACGGCTGCAGATCATGACCACTCCTCGCCCTCAACAGACGTCCGGCGTACAACGGCCCCCGCCTTGGGCCCCCATGATCGTGGCTGATCGGTGCACCGGACATTTGTGGGTTTTGGTGGTGACTACACGCCCCACTCTTATAAGTTTGTAGTGCCGTGCTTCCTTGGGGACGGCCATGGAGGCCGCGTGTGTGGGAGGGAGCCGCGGTTGTCGGTTGCCTGGCTTCACATCGCCGCGACTCACCCCCGTTGTCCACCAACCGTCTCCCCCGCCCCCGGGGTTTGTTTGGGAGTGATGGCTCCCCACCACCGCCGACGCAACAAGTCGTGGAACCGCCACCGCCCGCCGTCCGCCGTCCTTATCCGTCGGTGTTCGAGGCCGGCGTTGTTGAAGCGGGGGTGGACTGGCGAGTCTGATAGGACGGTTTGGTGCCCGCAGGAGAGCAGTCGTAAATGGCTCCTCCTCGCAATGCCGGCTCCCTTGCCGGCAGCGACGACTTCCACGTGGCTGAGTGCAGGGTGATCACGATCCCGGAGGGCGCCGAGCCGGCGGACTGCCCCGTGACGCCCCTGTCGCCCCTGGAACACGTGGGCCTGCCCAGCCTGGTCACCTGCGTACTCTCATTCCCGGACACCCTGAGCGTGGATCGGATGAAGCGCGCCGTGGAGCGCCTGCTGGCGACCTTCCCCGTGCTCGCCGGGCGCATCGCGCAGCTGCCGGCGGGGCGGTCGGGATCGGCGTCGTGCTTCCCGCTGGGGATCGCATGCAACAACGCGGGCGTGCTGTTCAGGCACCTCAGGTGCAGGCGGCGGTACTACGACCTCTGTGACCAGGACGCCACCTCGGGCACATACTCGCTGGCCAGCCCGGCGCCCGAGCCACCGTACATTGGGGTCAGTGACGTGGAGGGGCTGGCGTCCGGTCAGGAGCCCCTGCTGCGTGTCGCGCTGGTGCACTTCGTGGACAGGGGCAGCCTGCTGTCCGTGGGCATGACGCTGGGCGTGGTGGACAGCTTCAACTTCGGCCGCACGCTGAGGGCGCTGATGGCGGCCTACCGGGGCGAACCGCCCGGCGCCGTGGGCCGGGCGCTGGGGCTCGACCGAGCAACGGGCCTAAGGGACCTTCTGGGATCCTCCCAGGACGATCAGGGCGGCCAAGACGGTAAAGACAGCCAAGACGGCCTGGAGAGTCCAGATTCTGTGGGGCTGCGGCGGTGGGGTAGCGATTTTGATGCTGGATCTGAGTCTGTGCTGCCGTTGGTGGGCTCAACGGGCGAGGGCGAGGAGAGGGGAGAATTTGTGAGTTGGGAGCGGGCGTGGAGCGGACTTGGGAGGTCCGGATCGGGCGACTGCCGGCCCAGGCGCTCGCTCCAGGAGCTGACAACCCGGAGGAGGGGGCCCGCGGGCCCGGCGGGCCGCTCGCTGCTGCACCCCTGGTGGGATGAGGCCCCGGAGCGCTCGAGGAGGGTGAGCAGGGCCGTGGGCAGGTGGCGACGCGCCTGGATCCGCAAAATGCGCGTCGCCAAGCACTGCCTGCGCATCCCGCCGGAGGACGTCGACCGTCTGCGCGCCGCGGCGATGGACGGCTGCAAGCGCTTCGTGTCCGAGGCCGACGCGCTGAGCGGCCTGGTGTGGCTGCTGGCCACCAGCGTGCGCAAGCTGCCCACCTTCCTGGCCGACGAGGAGCGATTCGTCAACGTCAGCGTGCGGCTGGGTGGGCCGGCGGCGGGCCGCTACGGCAACGCCACGGCGTGGATCGGCGTTCGGCCATTGCGGCCCCGCGTCCGCCACGCCAACCACGTCCCCCCCGCAGCCCTGTCCTTCCACGCCAGGATGGCCGCGCTGGACGACCGCGAGCTCAACGGCGCGCTCGGCTGGGCGTCCTACAGCGTGCGCCGCGGCACGCTGGAGTTTCACAGCCGGTCGCATTCCATCGCGCCCAAGATGGCTTCCAGCCTGGGCGCCGTGGGCCACCACAGCGGCCAAGAGTACCAGTCGTACCTGGCGGCCGCGTTTTATGATTGCGACGTGCACGTCGTGCACGTGGAAGGATTGGTGATGGGGCGGGAGCTGGGATGCGGGGGCTGCAGTCCCGGGGGGGCGTTCTTCGGCGCCAGGAACCTGCCGCCCTGGACGGCGTTCGTGACGAGGGACGAGGCGGGCGGGGCGGACGTGCTGCTGGCGTGCTCTAAGGGGGAATGGGAGAGCGTGCGCGGGCACAGCATACTGCGCAGGACGCTGCCCGGCTGCGAGTGTCTGTAGGGTGTTCGACTTGCCCCAAATGACCCATTTCTCACAGGCTAACTTTGCATGAAAGGCACTCAAGAACAACCGCAGCAAAATGACCCCCTTTACACAGGTCACGTTTGCGTGAAAGGCGATCGAGAAACAGCCGCAAGGGGATGGCGGGGGTATGTGGTGGGTGCGCCTGATGCACCCTTGGATGTGCTGCGGTACGTGCTGTCCGCGCAGGCGTTGTGCCGCGCCGAAGATGGAAGCTGAGAGGCCACGGCGCCGTCGAAGTCCCATTCGCGGCGTTTGGGAGCAACGGGCTGTGGGGTTGACGGGGAATAAAGAGCGAAGCTTGGAAGTTGAGTTGAGCGGGGGGATTTCGGTACTTGTGGGGCATTTGGGGAGTTGCCGCGGTTACATTTTTTGGGTGCGCCCATTGCGTGCTGGAGCGGATGGATGCAGATTGTTGGAGTGTAGCTGAGTTGTGGTGTGAAGGGGCGCCTTTGTGGGTGCGCCCTGGATTGCGCAACGTTGAGGGGGTGTAGGTTGCACAGTTGGGGAAAATGCCACAGATTGGCCAGATTAGCTAGACTGGATTATTGCTGATCGTGAGTCCTGATCACCAAGTGAAATGGATTGAACACGAATTGCATTCTTTAAGCATTGTCCTCTGCGACGTTTCAGAGGTGATGGCTGTGGGCGTGTGAATACGGGATGAATTTAATCCAAATCCTGAGCCCACGGCTGGCATGCTTTGCCCATAGTGTTGTTGTGGCATTGGACAGAGACATGTGGTGACACGATGTCCATCGTTTGCCATACAGTTTCAGACGGACAATTTCCTGACCGTCATCGTCCACATGCTCAAAGCCTCAGTCTGTGTTGGGCTTGGTTGTTCTCGCGGTACTGTATCGAGTGCGCGCAAAGGGTTTGGGATCCTTGAGTCCGTATATGTGGATCCATGATGACCTCATGAATTCCATGCCGGCTGAGTAATGTCAATGGAGAGCTTTAATCTGGGCAAGGATCGAACTGAAGAACTGCAGCATGGCAGTCCTAATGTCTTGTAGATATTTTTCCAGGCTGCTGTGTGCAACTGACAATGCTGTCCTCCACACAGCAAAGTGCACATTCCCTGCAGACTACAAGAAATCAAGCTGCAGGGCAGGAGCTATACAGGATCCTAAGATGGCAACAAGCCACGTCACTGTACCATACCATCTTCAACGGCATGACGGCACAGGCCTTTAGCCTAAACAGCTCTCAGAGATTCATGCTGAAGATCACTTATTTGTGCAGCATTGTTATGCCCTGGTGGTTGCATGTACCTTGCCTGGACTGTCACACACTGCCGCCAGTAACATGAAGCCCTACGCAAGTGTCATTCCTGGCGATGCTTGCACAGGTCTTGGAGATCCACGCAACAGCTGGCTGACTTACGCAAAATTGTTGTACCTGACCGTAGTGGAGATCTTGAATGGATTGTTGCATGCTGCCAAAACCATGGCACAGCGTTGCAGTCAGTCCTGGCGATGCTTGGAGTGCAGGGCGTGACAGTGGACACTGTGTTGGGGTTGTCTGCTGGCCATGGCAAAGGGGCTTGCTTACAACAGCCGACCCTTGCTCAACTAAGGGAACTCTGCAACTGTTCCACGCCTGACGCCAGTACGCCGTCAGTTGATGGACCTCTGCATTCTTGTGTCACGACATGGGGCACCCAGTGTCCCTATCCTCTCACCTCTTGAAAGCACCCAGGGCAATAATCCCCCAAGAGAGCGATTTAGGCACCAATTCACAATGTTTCCAACTGGACAGTCACCCATGCGCCTGTCTTTTCCCCTCACGTTGGCTCCACTGGCTGAGTCTCCTGCCTGAACGATGAAGATGTCGCCATCCAACTTCCCTCGCAGTTCTTGGGCAAAACGGGCGACCATTTGGCAAAAGCTATCGGGTACATGTGCCACAAGCCCAAAAGTTCCCAGTGCCAAAAGTCTGACAGCACTAAGCACCAACATTGCCCCCTCCAGCATTCTGGCCCACAGACAATTGCACGTTCGCCCAACGGTCCGCTCCAGAAGCGACCTCTCTGCATTCCCTACGGCATGCCCCTCCACAGCTGCAAGGGCTAGCAGACCTTGCATGCGCCCTCAATCCGTTTTCTTCTCGGTCTTCCTGCCCTTAATCACCTTGCTGGCGGGGGTGCCCTTGAGCCAGTCGTCGTCGGCCGTGGTTGTGCTCGCGGCCTTGGCCTTCTTTGTGGTCACCGCCTTCTTGAAGATGCTCAGGCTGGCCGCCCACCTCACGAGCCCAAAGACTGAATCATCGACAATGCAATGGCTCAGATATAGGAAGTTTGATCAGCAAAGCCAAAATACCAAAATATTAAAATATCAAAACACAATCTCTTCCAATTTCAAACTCTTTGAAGTGTGTTCCACATCGGAGGCCCCTTTCTGCTCAGTAGAAACTTCTCATGGCTTTTTCAAATGCTGTGAGAACTGAAATCGAACGCTGGGACCGCATTAGGGAAGACGCTTTATGTCGAAGCGAGGAGCAATCAACTCCAATGCAGGCAGTTCCATGATTACATCTGGGATTTATCACACAAATGTATCATTCTCATCTGCTGCTTGCAGGATCGTCCTTTTCAACACAGGTGCAAAAGGCAATCCCTTGAGGTACAGCAGTCATACACTGCAGCTGTAGTATCGCACTTGCTGGCCCCCAGTCCCCCAGACATGGAGTGTGGCGTAGTTGCTTTGTAGGTCATATAATGTTTAGGAATCAAACAATGAGAACCTGGGATCTGACTGGCACCAACAACACCTGGGGTGCACTGTGAGGTCGTACAGCTCTCATCACACAGCCAAGGACCGAATGCAGCACAGAACAAAATTGATTTTGCTTACATTTGCTCTGCGCAGAGCAAGGCCAAGTCAGCATGAAAAAGCAATTGCTGTGTACAGTGGAGTTAGCAAGTTAAATGAACACCATCCCATTATTGCCAGCCTTGTGCAAGAGCCCACTTGGGTTTCAAAGGCAGACTAGCAACAAAGAATATCAGCAATGAACACTAATCACCACCATCAACACTGCCAGGACACATCTCTTTTTCCTGGAAAACAGCAGCATCTGGATTCTTGTATGTGATGTGATAATCTGAAATCCAACCAGAAGCAGCATGACACTTACCTGCCAGGGCCATCAAGCAAATGATGGTAGCATACATAAATAGGACCTCAGTGTCAAAGAACTTCTCGGCCTCAACGATTTCTATGGTCTCGTTGAAGAAGGTGGAGCTGTACCATTCATTGCCTTTCACGTTGGAGTAGAACGCCGTGATGGCAATCCTGAACTCCATTGGTGGCAGGGCAGGGTCGGGCCGGAACAAGTACTCCATCGTCAGCTCCGCACCTGCTGGCACAGTGATGCCCAGCGGCTGCAAGGACAGTGTGGAAGACAATGGACATGAGCATGCGAGATCGACCATGAAAGGCAAGGGTTTGGTGTACTCCTAACAAGCACTATGGGGCCCTTGGAATATGGTACCTTGCAACCTGACGCTATGAGCAATCCTTTGCTGACAGTTGTTGGACAGAGTCAAAACACCACCCTTGCACCCGCAGAGCGATGTCGGGAAGTAGTCCATGTGCAGATTGTCCAAAACGCGATCGTCACAATAGCCAAAGCTCAAGGCAAGATTGATGCATTCGAACTATCCAGGATCAATAGTGTCAATTGCCTTTTTTCGCTCTCCCGCTGAACATATATTCATTCAATCACAGGAGCCAAACAGACACCCACATTTGTGCACACTGCCATCAGCAAAGATTTCTGACATGAACGCGCCCATCATCGCCCAAAAGGGGCAAGGGCATGTCTTATATATTGATACTGAATTCAGTCAGCTGACTGAAATATGTGCAACCAATCCTTCTTCAGAGATGAAATCCCGAGCTGTGGATGCAGTAAAGATTTCCTGGCGTGGAAAGCTGGTAGTATGCCGCCAGTGTACAGGCTGCAGGTCACGTAATCGACACCAACAAATTCCAAGCTGAGTCTGGGGGTCTTTTATTGGCTGTTCTTGTGGCTGAAGCACTTAAGATGGGTCTACACTCCTTCCCTATATTGCTTGGTCCCCTTGGCTCCCAGTTTTGCCTGCAGTCATTTGTGTGTCCACTGCCATTCATGGTGGTGTTCTTTTTCACTCCTTCTCACGACATGTGGGTCTGTTCTGGCCCATGGATATGCATTCATCTTATGCTGAAGGGGTCAGTCATTTCTCCACCTATACAGTTTCCCAGTCAGCATTTTTTCCTCCTTTGTTCTCTCCAGCGCTTTGGATTTGCACAGGGGTTGTCAACCAAGGGGGCTAGCTTTGTTACGTTCGTGCATGCAGGCCCAAGCCAAGCAGTAGCATAGCACACGCTTGAATTGGACACATAGGAATCTGAGACATGAAAATGTTTCAGTATTACAGCCATATTCAGATTAACAACAATGCGTTGCTGAGCAAAAGGCTCGCAATTCTGTATGGGCAGGAAATTAGCCATATCAGACAAGGATGGATGCATGGTTTATGATTCAGGCAAAGGCACAACACAATTTCTTGGTCACGCAAAGAGAAGAGCAAGTGCCATATCTGTGACGACCCTCTGATGAGGGTGACCATGATGGACACAACACTAGAGCGAATTGTGGGTCAGCAACAGTACATGGTATGTTCCTTCTTCACCCATCTGGAGCCCCAGAGTAGGCAAATCTCTTCGAGCACTTGCGATCCCATCCTCAAGGGACGCACCTCAGGGTGAAAGGCCCCAATGTCCTTGCTGCTTCATGGTTTTGGCAAGCAAGTTTGGTGGGGCTCAAGCACCAAACACAGGAAACACAGCCAAGGATCAAGCACGGTGCTGTCTACGTTGTGCCTCACATCGACCAATGTGGCACAAAGCACAACCAGAGCATGTCCGAAATGTTGTTGAGGGCAGGTCACACAGCGCCAACTGCACTTGAACCCACTGCGCGATTGTGCCCTTGCACACAACCCTGGTGAAACGCAGGGGCGGTAGGTATTCCCAGGTTACCCCGCACACATGCCATGGCACACAGAATCCATGTTTCCTCAACAGGCGTGCACCTCCAGACCCCTGCATGGCGAATGATGTGGGCGACGTGTCCCCCCTTTTCCTCGATGCAACCCCACCCACGCATACCGCAGCGCAAACCGACCTGCATGCTGAAGTTCTGGTAGTACACACGAAAGTCCCCGGCGTGGTTCAGTGACCCCATGATTGCGCTCACGTTGACCGGCTCGCTGCCCTCATTGCGAAACCCCAGCAGCACGGGGATCTGCACAACACCGCAGGAACCGCCAATCAGCGCAGAACCGAGGCCCCTTCATCCACACACCCCAAAGAGGGACCGCCACAAAATGGGACATCTCACAGACGCGTCTTCGCCATCCCCCAACAACAGAGACCACACAACAAAGGGATTCATCCTGCGGGAGCAAGCGGGATCGAAAATGTGCCGCCGTGGGTGCACTGCACTGGGTGCTTTCACCGTGGGTACACTGCACTGGGTGATTTCACCGTGGGTGCACTGCACTGTGTGACTTGTCGCTGGTGCCGCGCTCAAAAATATGCCGCCCAAACCCGTCCGCGGAAGGTTTTCGAGATCTGTGGCGGCCGTACCACGTCGCCGGCCGGCAGGAGTTTCTGGGGGTGCTCCGGCAGCACGGACTTGGTGACGGCCATGCCCTCGGGCGGCATGTTGGTCAGGGGGTGCACGTCGGGGGCGCCCGCCTGGGCTCGCGCCGGCAGAGCCGCTGTGCAGACACACAGGGGCGCCAATCAGCAGATTGGGCACTTCGGACAGATCAGCAGATCCGACCCGCGGGTCATATCCAAGGTCGAGCGCGGCGGGGGAAGGAACCGCCGGGCGGCGCCTCGGCCGAGAGATTCAGCCGGGTTTAAGAGATGAATGGATCGGAGCGCAGCCTGAAGCGCCAACTGCTGATCGCCAGGTGGGCGGCATCCTTCCCCGCTGCACCGAGGATCGAGAGCAGGATCTCTGGCCACGGCGCAGGCGGATGGCCCAGCCGGGCGCCGCCCGCCGGCGACGACCACGGATCTCCGCCGCCTCGCGAAGACATCCACGCGGCGATCGCCCTCACCCGAGAGCACCGCCAGGACGAGCGCCGCGGCGCGCCAGGCTCGGGCGGACATGGCGCCGACCCCCCTCCTCGAGGAGACCGCCTCGGCTGGGCGACACGGGCTCGAGGGCGGGATCGGCTCCTGCGCGGCCGGATGGGCGTGCGCGGGGGATGCGGGGCGGCGGCGGGGACCGCTGCTGTAGCTCCGGGGGAGGACGGTTCGCCGCGGGCGGCCGCTGTGCAGCAGAGGCCCCAGGGGGCGTTGGGGAAACGGTGGGCTGGCGGATCTGCCTCCGTGTCCCTGTGTCCCGCTCGCCAATTATCACATTTCTCTGCCCTCCCAGGCCGGTTTTAGGGGGCCGTTCTTGGGCAAGGCCGACATGAGAAGTTCGAGGGCTTGTGGGTTCTGAGGGCGCATGATGGATACCTGGACTTTGTTTGTGTTGTGCATTCAATGAGCTGATCATGGACTCTACTTTGCTCGGGCACAACAGGAAGCTTGCGGCTACTTCCTTGCCTTGTTCTGTAGAAAGGAATGAAGATGATGAGAGCAAATCGCTGATTTCGGCTTCTCTTGGAGCGTTTGGAGCGTTTGGACAATGAATTTTGGGAATTAGGCTGGGGTGCACTCGGGGTGACATTGATAGCCGTGTTGCCACGATACCTTTGGACTACGAACGACATGTCATGGGTGACACTACTTTCTTTGGACCAATTTGGAGCTGACGGCTGCCTCGTTACCTTGAAATGAAGTCCTTTTTTTCTTTCATTTCGGTGTCATTGACTTTGGCCTCCAGCATGTGGTTTGATTAGTGGTTCCAGTGGGTCTGGAAGGGTGGCTTCATGCAAACATATCAGACTGCCTACAAGACTGGGATTCGAGGGGTGAGCAGAAGGCCAGACCTGTGTCCCTTGTGTTGACAGCTGCAGAGTCTAATGCACAAAAGCAGCCCACGCCAGGTTCGGGCCTGAACTCAGGGACCAAGCCCAAGATAACTTGTTTCAAAGTCCAAGACGTTATCTCCCAGCCTGGGGGGCCCAGACGTTCATCAGGGCTATCACTATCACAATGGTGGGCTTGGCCTGGATGGCAACTTGTGCTGCATGGACGCAGTTGACAGTAAAGGGCTCACGCTCAAGATCTGGTGGCATCGTCTGCACTCACAATGCCATTGACGCACGCAAAGCCCCCGCTCCACGTTTAATCCCCGTTGTGAGATTCCTATGTTGCCTGAAAGATGCCATTTGCTCCTCTCCATCCATCTGTCGATGCCTGTGCCATCGTGCTTGTGAAGGATGGGTGTGGGGCGCTTCATTCTTCATCGCATGTCCAAACCATACATCACGACAGGAAAAATGTGTGGGGCGGGGTGGGGTGGGGCGAGGTGGGGGGGGTGGGGTGGGGTTAGTGAGGGACGGCTGGGCGGAAAATATCATGCTTGTCATATTACGTGCCCATCATCGCCACACATGGTGCCAGGGACTCAATCTCGTGTGTGAGATGTAATCACAAGGACTCCACCAGAAAGTGGAGAGTTCACAAAAAGGAAACTCACTGGGACCCGACCCTTTCTTCTTGACCTATCTTGCCGCATGCTGCCTATTTTCTACAAAACAAAAGCACCCGGAAGCCTCCCATCACCTCCTGAATTTTTTGGGAGCCGTAAACTCCTGCCCCATTGCTGCCCTCTTTTTGTTGTACTGCATGCGCTGCGCATCGTTCACAGCGCCCAAAAAGGGGTCGTCAAAATTTGTCGTGTCCTCATTGACAAGGTGGGTCCACTTGGTGCGGCCCGACCGGCCAAAGCTCTTGACCTGCATGACCTTTGGCATGCTAGTCTTGTCGAAAAGGTCCTCTCCAGTGGGTGCAGAGAAGTCCCGCATGAAGATGTCATCTGCCTTCGTGGTGCCCATTGGGTCATCAGGGGTGTCCTGGAAGAATGCACCCTTGTGCCAATACTTCTGCAGGTACTTCCACTTCTTCTTTGGTGCCTTCTTCAGCACCTAAAGGACATGGTCCCAGAGCCAACACCCTGCTTAGATCTGTCGCCACGCACAACATATCCCCAAATATATCCTTCAAGTATCCTATAGACATCCCTGGACACATGCAAGGTCCTGAAGGGCACGGGACAGGCCAAGTGCGAGTCTTGTGCACACTTGTGGAGAGAACATGCCGATGGGCTGTTCTGACAGTTGGGGTTTAACATCAGCACTCTGGAACAGAGCACCACAGCTGCACACATGGCCACCAGGAGCCCAGCTTCATGTTGTTCACCAACATTCATACCACCAAGGGTTATTAAAGGAACACAGAAAAGTGCACATGAAAGGCACTCAGCACTGAGTTCAGGCAATTGTTGCCCTGAACTGATATTCCCTGCATTCCAAATGGAGCAACCTAAAGTGAAATCACACATCGCATCTTTTGACTTATCAGTTCATCACGCAGAACATTTGGTGTAAGGGCACATCCGGACCCTGAGGCAGTACCCAATAGCAAAGAGTTGAGGAGCATTCAGCAGTGCTGACTGAGTTACTTCACCTTATCCCAACGTAACTTCATTGCCAAAGCAACCCTGCCCAGCCAACTTTTGACTCATGCTCTGTGGTTTGGGAAGCAGCAAGGTTGATGCGACTATGTGTAAACTACTAATCACACTTGTGGCAATCACAACATTTACAGAAGCATGATATATCGTTACACTTGTCCCTATGGGGCGATGTTGTACACTGTTCACATTCAAAAGTGTGTGTTCCATAAACTGGAATACTTTTGCATCCCATTGCCTCCCATGTAGGCCCCTTTGGTTCCTAGAATGAAAGACAAGGCCTGGCTGCACAGACAAGGCAGACAAATCTGTCTGGCATGTGGCGCTGGCAACCTTGATACAGTGCCATCTAAAGCCTATAGGGCATCTTGCCAGTCAATCCGACTTGCACCATGCACTCAAGTAAAACTGACTGTACCCCTACCATCAACAGCTAAACAAAAGCACAGGAGGCGCAGCAAGCACCATTATACACTAATCATCGCACACTGCGACCCACGTGCTGTAAGCACAACGAAGAGCGCAAGAGATATAACTTGTGCACCACAACACCACCCACTCTGCTCTAGGCCCCTGCACTATCACAAGGACACCTTGAAGGTGGTGGTAAAAGTCTTATGAAGCTCTTGGTAAGTGCACAAAATACCAGCTTCAAGCTGTGCATGGAAATTATTGCGCATTGTCACAGCAAGGAACAGAGTATGACCAAGTTTCCTGCACAAGTGGGCAGGTGCTGTGTACAGCATGCCCTTGCTTCTGCTGGGTAGGCAATCCTCACCTTAGGATTTGCCCGATCCCAGGCTCTCCGCTGCTCCTCAGTCATGGCATTGAGCTCTGCACGCTCGGCGGCCATCTTCTGGTCCAACTCACGCTCATCACGATCCCTCTTGAGTCGTGCATACTCACGGATCTTCCAAGTTTCAAATTCTTTCTCTTCTTCTTTGTCATCATCGGTGTCCACGTCGTTTGCAGACTGTTCCCAAACAACAACGGCAACATCTTTTAGCTTCATAGGAACACTGGTGCCCATACCAGAGTTGTTGCTCAAACATGTTCTCATGCACCGAAATGCATGCTTTGCAACAGTTTAGCTCTGGCAGCGCAACGTTGTGCAACACATGCTGTGGAACGCATTCAAACATGGACATTCTGCACTACTTTATTCTGCCTGGTACTAGTGGTGTTGGAGTACAAGACTTGCTCAAGGTGGACCAAAATGTACCATCTCAACCGTGCTTGTGTGTGCAAATTTCAACCAGTGAAAGATGTAGCAGTCAAAGCAGGGCAACCTGCAGTGCAAGTGTCTGGTGAAACACTCCCTTGGATATTTCTCCCCAGAGCTGAAGCTGATTCGCCTCCGGAATCTGCTTCGACTGCATTTGTAAACAGCCAGCCAAGCGCTGCCTTTGCAGCTGACAGAAGCGATGTCTGGGTGGCATAGCCTGAACTGTTGCATGCCATCAAGGGTGGCAGAGACACTGGGGGGTGATATTATGGCGATTTCTGTTGAAAATGCTTAGGACTTACAACAAGTTCCCACCATGTGCTGAACATAGAGGCAGTGGATGGCTTGCATTCATCATCAGAAGATCTATCCTTTTGGCAACTTGCATCGCCTTGCACTGCCTTCAGAGGTGGCAGAGGATCTGCATCTTGTTGAACGGGACAGAGGTGACACACCAACTGTTGAATGCAACATAGGTTCGGATAAAAGGACAGCATCGCCAATCCGCTTGCTTCCAGGGGATAAAACACTCCAGACACATCTGCTCACCTTTGGGCCATCTGCCTGGGACTTTGCGGCAGAGTCCTCTTGTCGAATGAGCTCCAGCACCAAGGCCTTTGATTCAATCTGAAGGCAAACACACAGAGCTTTTGACAACTAGCCTCACCTGCTCGAGAATGAACAGTAGCTGTGATGCATGCCGTCTGAGCATGGTAACTGCCACTAGTGCTTTTGATGCAGTTGATGCCAACGCCGGGACACCAGGAAGCTGTGGTACAGATGTCAGACACCACCGGAACAACCATGGATGCCTCTGAGTTGTCTTACACACACAGCCACATCAACACAATACTCCCATGAACATCGCCTAGAGATCTCCACAATGGGGGATACACTGCTCCTCCAATGAGCTACACTCCAAGATATTCACTAGTGCAAAATCAGACAAATGTCGAGCACGACAGTGCAAAAAAAAAAGCCATTAGGCCTGCTCTTTAACATGACATTTTGTTTCCAACGTCGATGGAAACGATTACCACAATCAGCACCTACACATTGGCCTTGCTGCCTTGCGTGAAACACGCCCATCACAAGCTGACCCACAGAGTAAACAGACAGCAGAAGAAAAGGGGTGCTGGAGTGCAGCTCTGCAAGGTCTCCACCCACAGTAGGCGTCCCATTCCCCAGGGCCTCACCTTTCTTTCCTCAATCTCCTGCTGTTCACGCTTCCATCTCAGCTCCTCTTCCTGCTGTACTCTATCGCGCTCTGCAATCGTCTGCATCAGGAGCACACGGCGAGTTCAGATACACCAGTGTATCACCTTCACAAGGTCAGATCTGCTGTGAGTCCATCTTCACACACTATTCTGCTATGGCTTGTACATCAAGCTCAGATCAACTGATCATCCAGACCACACCTTCTGGGCACAGTCCACAAGCCAGGGTGTGAATGAGCGGTGTGAGCCGATGCATACAGTGAATGCCCACTTGGCCCCGAACAGGAGGGAACTTCGATCTTTCATCTTTGGGCACTGTTGTCTTGACAACTGATTTTCCAAGTTCCACATCACAAATTATCACTTTTGTTTCCCTTACACAAGTTGGTCTTTGCTTCAAAGTCTGGGGCAACAGCATGGGGGGATTGGCATAAATGACAAGGGCAGTTGCGGGTTCCGCATGAGAGCGCACTATTAGGAATTTGGCGCAAAAGCTAACATTCTGTCCTGCGATTCGGCGAATTGACTTTTGTTTATGCATGGCTTTTCAGTTGCTTGGCTGACAAAGCGAATGCACACAATGCCCTCCACTGCCCCACAGCTGCCCAGTTATGATGCGTTGGCATCGGCACATGCCATCAAAAGCACTGCACCTTGGCAACATACAGCAAAAGCGGTGAATCCTCTATTTTGAATAGATGGTCGACGTAAGACATGTTTGCGGCGATCACTGGCAATGTCTGTTGCTCAAGGGTGCCAGCTGCAAATATGGCTGGCACTGCTGCGGGCAGCAGTGGGAGCCACTGCTGCAACAGGGCAGGAAATACAAACCCAAAACAGAATTGGTTCCATGCATACCAACAGGACCCTGCAAGTAAACCAAGTAGTGTCTGTCATTGATGTCAAAATGATTGTGCCCCAGTACAGCGCAGATCACGCCACTCAAGGCGTTCATTACCTGCCACCACAGATCACCTGGCATGTTGGCTGCCAGCGTTTCAATTTGGAATTCAAGTGGCAAGAAAAACACCCCACACTGCCTAACAGATGCAAGGCAGTGCTTTGTCATGCACCAGCATTTTGGCGATTGTCAACATTGGGCCTTTCCACTAACAAAGTTGAGCATTGCCGTTGCTGACACAGTTTGGTCAGCAATTTTTGTTGCCAAAGTGCGACTTGTTTTCATATTGTCTGTGGTGTGAGGCCATGCACTGAAGAAAACAGCTGACAGCATGCAGCAGCCTGATCGATGGCTCACATGTCCATCAGGCACCAATCATTTAGATGTTCAAAAATATAGGAATCTGCCAAGTCACATTTGCATCCATCCAAGCCAAGATTGCCCAGAAATGCTCACAGGACGACTGCATGCTCATGCATATTGTAGCCATAGATAGACCCATGCCTCATCCAGTACCAAGTCCAAGGGGCTTGCTGCTCAATGGCAATGTTGCATTGGGGCATGCCCCAATGTTCTAAAAACTGAGTCCAGTAACTGACGCCTGGACATCAGTTTATTCCAGCCTTTTTGACGATTTGACTTTTACTGCCCATTTTGGGTAAGAAGTGCTTGAGCTGTTCGAAGGAATAACCAATTTGGCCTCCAGAAGTGAACGCCGCACCTCCCTCTCTGTCTTTGGCACAAAAACAGGCTTTATTAACTTGCGACCAAACCGTTCATCTTCCGAATCTGTTTCATATTCAGATTCGTCATCCTGCAAGGCAGCCCACAATGCAAATTAGGGAATGCAGCATGGTCGAATTGATACATATGCTATTTAGGCAATAAGTGCTTTGGGGCAAGCAAACACAATGAAAGGATATCCATGGCCCTGCAATTAGCTATATCAGAATGAATGAGCAAGGTTTGGTCGAATTTCTGTCAAATGCACTCATCACATCCTTGCCTTGCTGGGCTCTGAGCCAGTCGCAAGACATCCCCTATTTGATATCCACAGCCAGTCTGAGGGCTTACTAGCGGGGCTGGTGTGGTGTGGTGCAGGGAGGGAGATGATGAACCAGTGCCATCACAAAGAACATGACCAAATGGCCTAATCAAATGTATCGCAAACATCAGCGACAGTACTGGCTGTACAGTCGCCAGGGACTTCAGAGCCAAACAAAACAGGCATGCCTGATAAGCTGTGACCTTTGTCCTCAAGGAAACCTATCTATACTTCAATAAATGCGAATTCATGCAATATGATCAGCTCACAAGCTGACCAATCGCCATGTTGTGACAATGCTATCAATGAGAGTTTGTCCAGTAGAAGTGAAAGCTGGTAACATGGCCCCACCCCCTCCTCTTCCTCAATATCCTCCTCTTGCTGTGGTAGCTGGTCCTCCTCTTCCTGGCGAATTTGTAGCAACCTGCTCACAGTGAAAGCACCAAAACATGCTCTTATCCTTCGTGGCACATCACACCTCAGGGCCAGAGGCGGCCGTCAGGTTGCTACTCTACAATAAACATCAGTCACTCGCTGCAGCCTCTCAATCCCTACAGAAGATCCTGCTCAACCCCCTCCCATGTCCCAACACACTCTCAGGCATCGCTGTGTGCAGCCAACATGTGCAGTCAAGAGCAGCACAGTTGGCTGCTGTCCTGCAACAAAACTATGGCCACTGACAAGGCATCAACGTGGATTGTGAGTGCACCATAATATGGCTTACACAAGGCAGCTGCACTCCAAATCTTTGGTTTGGGTCCTGGCTGGCAAGCCATACTGCGCGTTTCCAACCACAGCTGAAGTCCCGTACCCAATAGCACTGATATCACACAACATGTGCAGGATGTGGTTTCTGCTTTCCAACAAGGATGTCAATGGGTTTGCAGATACCTGCTTACAACCTGGCCACCATTTACATTCCCTCCCCTCTCAATCCTCCTTCCCTACCCTTGCTTGGACAGAAAAAGAATAACTCGATGGCATACTCGTGCACTGTAATCAATGCTTCCCAACATCGCCAGACTGGACGAAGGATTCACTTCGTCATTTTCTGACTAAGGCAACAAAGGCTAATTCATCCTTGCTCTGCATCTCATACCATTGCAGGTCGAGGACGCCACCTGTATCAGGTTGACAAATGCAATCACAGCACTCATAAATTTGCGTGCGCAGGCACCTCTGGATTGGTTTGAGTGAAATCCTCCAAACTGCTAGACCTGGCTGGCTAGATCCCAGGACCAACATTGCTCAGCTGCTCTACAGCTGCCACGCGCCTGAAACAGCCTTTGGTGCTCCCAGACCCGAATGCAGTCCAGCGCATGTCGCAACAATCAAATCCCTCCAACGCAGATGACCAGACACAGGAGACGGCATTCAATCCCACCAACCAAGTCCAAGCCCTACAACGGCACCCTACGCACGTATGCACGGCACGGAGGCGCCCCCTTCCCCCGTTCTCACCTCCCGCCTCTCGATCGCCACCAAACCAACGCCACACATCCAGCTCCCCACCCCCCACCCTACCCCACTTCACCCCACTCCTTTGGTACATGCTTTCTTGCCTTTTGTGTCACTCGCGTTACGTGCCCAACACTACGCGTCGGAGACTCTATACCACCTCTTTACAGCATGGAAAAAAGTCTCTCATACACTTGTTTAGGAGGTGGTGCCCTTTGCATGACCTGTATCTTTCTCTCTTTGCAGCAAATCATGCCCTCCCCTGCCCCTCCCCGCACCTCTGCCTCATGGCGGCCCTCCGATCCAGCAGCGTGACCTCGTCCACGGCCAGATCCTCCTCCTCTTCCTCCTCCTCCTCCTCCTCCTCCCCCTCCCCCGATCCCTCCTCATCGCTGCTGCCCTCCAGCCGCGGCTTCACCCGCCGGTGCCACGGCTCCCCATCCTCGGCCTTCGCCGCGGAGGCTTCCGCCAGGCGCCTCAGCCGCGGGTCGGCCTTGGACACCACGACCGGCGCCGCCACGGAGTCGCGCCGCTGCTGCTGGAGGACCACTTCGTCGTCCTCGTTGAGCGCCCACTCCGGCGCGCGGCCCGGCCAGTAGCGCCGGACCTTGGTGGGCTCCACGCGGCCCTTCTCGAGCTCATGGTTGATGGTGCGCCCCGCGAGCGCGCCGGACATCGTGCCGGGGCCGGGGCGCGGCGGGCTGCGCGCTCCGGGCGCGGAGGTGGGCTGGGTGGGCTGGGTGGTGGTGTCGTCGTTGTGGCGGTTGCGAGACGGCGGAAAACGGGATGTTTTAAGGGCTTTTTTTTTTTTTTTTTCTCGTGTGTTGGGCGGCACGGGCCAAGCAACTGCTTCTGTTTCCAATACCAGCATTTATCAGCATTGAAAAGAGATTGAGGTGATTTTACCGGCACTTCAGCGGTTGTTACGACAACCCGACCGTTTTGCAGGCCACCTGTGGGGTCGCTTCATTGTGCCTCCGCCCACGCCCTGACCCAGAGCGGTTGAAGAGCACACACAAAGGAATGGATACAGGGGTGCACCTTCATGTTTGCATGCATATCGCAGGCGATTCAGCCACAGAAGCCCGGACACAAGCAGCCCACGGGCCTTGAGCACCCAGGCGCATGCAGTCCTATAAGCTGTGCACAGAGACGCCAAAGAAATTACACAGATTGGCCCAGATTCGCTGATAATCCATGCAATTGCACGCTGAGAATGCCATGGGTGTGCCCACCGAAAACCGAATACTTGCTGGCTCAAAACCTTGGCCTTGAAGCCAAACTGGTCACGTCACACGCCGTGGCTTGTCCACAAAGGCCATGCACAGAGAACGCCGCCAAGGTGCTTACAACGTTGTGAGCACCTCATAGCAAACTCAACATACAATGTTCGTTCGGATGAATCCCCTCCAAATTGGGGGTGAAAATTGGCGCCGCAGAGGCTGCGGCGGCCACCCAGGTACCCCCATCCACCCATTCCCCGACCTCCTGGGCGTCATCATGAAAAATCCAATTTGCTCCATACAATGTCCCATCAACGGTGGGAGTTCACAACAGAAATCCCTCCCAACCCGTCCAGTCCCCAACATAACATTGCAACGTAAAATCACTGTTTTGCATGAAGTCTAGCCATCCGCTTGGTTGCCCTAGCAGGTAGCAGACACAGCTTTGTCTGCAATGGATTCTCTAGTCATGTCTATTTTGTTCATCAGTTCAGACGGGCGAGGCTCAACCCATACAAGGTTAGGGATGAGATTGCAGGCCGGCAGACAGAGCTGCCCTGTGAGCGCCTTATCCTCTACGCTGTCTGCTCAGCAGAAGCATCAGGAGCGCCTTCTTCCGCAAGCAAGGATTGCCAGCAGCGACGGCACTAGATGCGCCTATGTCATTGATGCAAAGGTGGGAACGATGCAGCAATGTTACTGAGGTCAGCGTTACTGCTTAAGCGAGAATGTTATGCAGCATTCGCTCTTATGCATCGACATTCGTAATCTTTAATGCTGATGCCAAGGCTGCTTCACCTTTGGTACACAGGCACCGCTGGGATGTTGCTCATTGCTGCGTCGGCGTTTCTGCCGCATCGCCACCACCAAAGTCGCAGATGGGTGATTCAATGAGGAAGCGTCATGGTCCACTTTCGCAGGTCCCAGGTTGGGACTCCCAGCACCCAACTGGGGGCAACAAACGGGGCAACAAAACATGGCACAAGCGTTTACAGTCCATCAATCTTCTCAACAAGTTGCCTTAAGAAATTGATGCCATGGTTATTTTATTCAGCAATAGAGGTGACCCAGGCCGCCTCCCGGTCCTCAGTCCGCAGGGCCAGGAGGGTGGAGACTCATGCAGCTGATTGCTTACCACAACACTCAGAGCCCAACCAATAAGTGGCGATGTCATCTGAAGGCACTCTCTCTGGCTTTAAACTACTCTACTGGAAACTCAAAACGAACCAAAAGGGGACCGATCTCAGCCCCAGAGCATACTGCGAAACCATAAGTTAATCGAATTGGCCACCGCCTCCCATCCCGACCCTTTCAGCAAATCTTACCCACGGCTTGTGCTGGCGGCCAAACCACCCAAGCCAGTTCAGCCACCAACTGAGTGTCAACATTTCAGCATCAAATCACATTTGCTGCTGCATACAAGAACTGATTGAAGTCCAGACTTATCCTGCCAGTTTTCTCCGGGTCGAATGCCGCCCAGGTGGCAGTCACGCTCTTCAGAAACAGGCTGAGGCCAATGTAGCCAGCCAGGTCGAGCGATGAAGACCTGCTAGGGTCGAAGGCCCTGACCATGGGATCAAAAGCCTGCCGCTCAAGGTTGAACCCTAGAAGCATCACAGCCAAACACAAGTCAGCCCTGGCCACAAGTGGATGGAATTGTGCATGATGACCCTTGCAGCTGCCAGAGCTGTGCTTTGCTTGTTGGAGCAATTGTCACGAAAGGATTGGGTTACAAACAATTGGCCATCGATTGGTACCACATTCGACTTGGGCGGGTGGGATGTGGAAATCAGTGGTTTGCAGTTGATGTGATTTTAGCTTTCGCTTTGGAGATCGTTCTTGTGGATATGGCGTTTGGGAGATTCAGAAAGCACTGCGCACCATCATCCTTGAGAGTAACAAGGGCAGTTGGTTAGTGTTTTTGACCAACACGATCAGTGTGATCTTTCGTATCCTGCTCAGCCAGCACAGCAATAAACTATCGTCATTGGCCACATCAATTGGAGATTCACTTTCCCTGATTCCTGCTCTGTCTTTGGAACAAGGATTCCACCACCCAGGGAGTATTGAATATGATTCAGCATATACTGGAGTGCATCAGCACGATCGCTTGGAAAGAAATTCCAGAACATTGTACAACACAAGACGATGCTCTGTGCTACAAGCATTCATGCATCCAGCCATTCAATTGCATTAATATCATGGCTGATGAAGGATCAGCTTAAAAGTCGGAATGATCAACTATTTGGACATCACAACATTTAGTTGCGGTGGAGTGACAGCATTTTCCAGGCAACACTCCTCCTGAAGTGAACAGGGCAGTGTTTTCGTCGAATCCTAAAGCAACAATAGAGGGTTTTCACAGTCCTGCTTCAGGGTTGTTCATGCATTAATCAGGAAAATCGTGCTGTCATTAGGGGCAATCCACAGGTACAATGGTGCCTGGTGTTGCTTGAATGTGCATGGCCAGTGCTTCGTCAGCTTCTGACATACGGGCTCAACAAGATTGGCACTTTCGAGTCCATGAGTGTATACCCACCTGCATGCAGCAGGGCTCGAGCAACCTCATCGAATGTCAAATGTCCATTCCTGTCTGCATCAAAAAAGTTGAAGTTTTCCTGCATGGTGGATAGGAACTTATGCAGCGCCTGGAACTCTGGGAAGGTGATTGTGCCTGAGCCCGTCGCGTCATGTGTCCTGGGCACAGGAAACATAAGGTTGTTTTGTTGGCGACAGGAGAATTTTGGCAACCAACATTCGTGGATGTGAACCACGCCTGACAATTCTAAAACGTTAGGGGACACTGATTTGTCATATCATGCTGTATGTGTTTCTGATGGTGCAATTCGCGTCCATCCTGTCAATGCATGCACTCCTCAGACACAGCCAACGGCTGGGTAAAGTGCTACTGCACAACAAAATTCAATACATACACAATGCCAAGCGAGTCAGCCCCTTCCAGCTTCCTTTCCCACTGTCCACTATCCTACAACATACTGTTTGCCAGTGTCAGTGCGTCCCTCATATTCTCCGACAGAAGCAGCGTACCACGTTGCTACAGCTACCCACGAAGATTTGCGGATGTGCAAAAGGAAAGAAACACTACTCATGCTCCCATATTTGCTGTGGGCACCCTTGCCAGCAACAAGGTATCAATCCCATTTTTGACTCGCATCCCCAGCGAAAACATCGAGACTCTTCCATCATGTCCAACAACGTTGCATTCACCAACTTCCTCCATCGTCTGAACGCGCCAAAACCCCTTTGGCGTCACTTGCATTCGTGACAAGGTTGGGAAAATGCCGTGTGACCCGCCGGACGTGGGGGTGACCGCCAACCTTATCATATGCGCCACGGATGCAAGGCTGAAGTGTAGGTTTCCCAGAGCCAGCGCGCTCTGCAGCTCCTCGCTGGTCAGATGCCCATTCCCGTCGGTGTCGATCGCGTCGAACCACTGCGGGCGCACACGCAGCACGGCAGGATGGCCATTAACGCACGCCGCCGTGCGAAATGAAGACAACCGAAGAAATCTCCGGAGGCTTCGGTGGGCAGCCCACGAAGCCTCTGGATTCACAAACGGCACGCGGCCTTCCGACTTGTGTGCCTTGCGCGTGGCCAGCGGCAGACAGAGCAAAATGACCACGATCGAGAGACGCGCAAAAGGCACCAGCCCGCCGCAAAGCTAATGTTAAGTTCCACCCGCATGGCGTGTTGAGTCAAACCCAGCCTCGCGCTCACCGCTCTCAGCTCTGCCATCCGACCCTCGCGAACAAACCAGGGGCTGGGCGATGAGCCGCTGGGCGCCTCGCCGCTGGTTGCGAGATTGCGGTGAGCAGCTTTTGGGGTGGGGTAGGTGAGCTTTGCTGGAGCGTTGATTTGCCGGCGCGGCGTTCCTTGGCGCAAGACTGTTAGCGCAGCCGGCGCTGCCGCGCTTCCGGATGCCGCGTGCAGGTTGCCGTCCAGGTGGGCGAGGTTTTATGTGACCGGCATGAGCTGGGGTAGTAGGGGACAGATAACACTGCCCGAGGGGCATGCGGAAGCTTGGTGTCAAAGGGAAGCGGTGCGGGGGTGCCTGGAAGCTCGGTGGACCGAGCACGGGTGCACATGGCTCACTCGTGACCACCTGAGACGAAGCTATGGTCCCTGAAAGATGAGTCATGAGAACAGCAATATGCTCGTCAGTTCCTTCCACGGGACGTAACGGACGTTTGCGGAGGCTTTGGGGGTATGGAAGCGACAACGCCAGGAATGCACAAACGGAACACGCGTGTTCCAAATCCTGAGCATGCAGGATTGTGCCTTGGTAGCTGCACGACGGCGAACGAACAGCCACAGCATGCGGAGCTGTGGAGATGGCACAGAAGGCCACGAAGAGGGACGGTGAAGGGGCTCCCTGAAACCGTGTCGGAAGGGGCTCCCTGAAACCGTGTCGGAAATGAGGAAGGATTTCAAAATAAACTGAGCCAGTGCCGCTGGAAGAAAATAGGGAAACGAACTATTTCCCCTTACAGGGGAATGGCGGACAGCAGCGCTAACCTAGGACATCAACAATATGCACAGGCACGCGTCAAAGGTAACCGTGGCTCCATGGAAATTGGGTAGATAGCGCCCTGTGGTCTATACGCGCGGGCCTTGTGGTCTTCGTTTCGTTACAGAGGCAAATTTTGCCTGGGAATGATGCATGCATCTGCAACAAAAGCACATATTCACGTGATACAGATGATGCGAAGTTCGGGAATCGCAACAACAACCAATGAGACTGTATGGGGAGAGAACGGAATTTTCTCAACAACTTCATTCAACAGCCAGGAAAGCGACAGGTCTCCAATTCACCCTCAGTCACGTGGCCTCAAGTTGCTAAGCTCAGGCCTGTTGAGAACCAAGGCCCAAGTCAGCTTTTGCTGCAGGAAATCCGAAGGGCACCCACCGGAATTTCGCATGTTTGCGTGCCTAAGATGGGCGCACTCTCAAGATCTGCGGGAAATAGCCCCAGCGACTTCTTTCCCACATTGCGTCACACGTCATACACAGAACAAAATCGTGAGCACATGCCTAAATGACACAAACCGTCGCAAATGTTGTCGCTGCCGGCTTCATGAAAGGTTTGTCATTTACGTCATAAAAACTTTGGATCTGGAGCTCGTCGTGCTGATCAGAACATGAGCTGTTTTCAAACTCTTGCTTTCTGCCAGTTTCACAAAAATTTTATGATATCCAAGATAGTCTGGGACACTAGGCATCGTGCCACACGTCGTGGCCATTTTCCTATAAACTTTGTTTTCCATTTCCCGCTGACATTATGCATGATTCGGGGCTTCAGTCAACGCGGCTTTTGACAACATCTATAAACGGTACTGTCACAACAATTTTGCGCACCTCCTCTCATACTGCGCTAGAAAAAGGTTCAGATAGTTTGAGGTTGCGGGAATGTCCGCGTGGACTTGACAACGATATTATTATTAGCGATCAATGTTGGTCACCAGCACCAGAGCAATTCCTTCCCGAATCAAATTAAAGTTGCACACTCGAAGACACGGCAAACACTTGCAGGCAATGTGTTCCAGGTCGGTCTCTATCCCTTTATTGCTTGGGTAGAATGCGCTGCAGCACCGATGGTGCATTTTGCCATTGACGCGATGTCGAACAACGTTGCATCAGGGCACATGAATTAACATGGACATATTGCAGGGGTCCACATCCACGCTTGACAACATGATGCCACAAAGGTCCTTGGCATTGGATGAATGGCAGTGTCGCATCAACTTTGACCCCAAACCGGAAGGGCGGCGATGCAGCAAAACCTCCCTTCGCTCTCCCCTCCGTTTAATTGGGTGTCGTGTTTGGACTGGGAGCTTTTGAAGAGACACGGCCGACAGGAACGAAAGAGTTGCAAAAGGGTACATAACCATTAGGTATATTTTGTACGTCAAACTGTTGCAGTTTGACAAAAGATCTTTATCCAGTGGAGGGGAATCTCTGTGCCCCCAAGGCCGTAGCGTAGCGTCACTTCACTGAAACAGCCCAGCCCTGAGCAGGGACTTCTGCTCAACTCGTGAAAGTCGCTTTGTGAGGACCTTCTGATTGATGCCAGCTCCGCGCGAGCTAATCGCGTTGCAAGAGTCCTCCCACCCGCCACCCACCCCGTCAGGAAGAATCCTTGCCTGCAGCGCCCAGACTCCATGATAGCCGAGTTGTGGCGATTCTTGGACTCGGCGGCGTGCGGCGCTTCGCGCTTGGGGTGCAGAGCGTGACGCGCGCATCTTTTGGTCGCATGACCGGTATGACGCAACATCGCCCAACACACTTACGCACTGCACAGTACCCCATCGAGTTCAACCTGCAGCCTCGGCGCTGCGCTGATACCGACGCACCGCCCTTTCCTCGCCTCAAAAAATGCAAATTGGACGGAATGAGGCCCGAAGCATGCACTAAAGAACCCCCGGCCCACTTGGTGCAAGCGACCTGACAGCTGGGGAGCTCAGGGCAGGGTCCAAAGAGTCCAGGCCGCCCAGGCCGCCCCAGGCCGGCGCGCCATGTCTTCCGTGGTGCTGGCCACGGCCGGCTACGACCAGACCATCAAGTTCTGGGAGGCCACGAGCGGCATCTGCTACCGCACCCTGCAGCACACCGAGTCCCACGTCAACAAGCTGGAGATCACCTCGGACAAGAAGCTCCTGGCGGCCGCGGGCAACCCGCTGATCCGCCTCTTCGAGGTGCACTCCGCCACCAACCAGCCTGTGGGCCAGTACGAGACCCACACGGGCAACGTCACGGCCGTGGGCTTCCAGAAGGACAACAAGTGGATGTTCAGCGGCTCGGAGGACGGCACGATCAAGATCTGGGACCTGCGGGCGGCGGGCTGCCAGAGGAACATGGAGTGCCGGGCGGCGGTGAACACGGTGGTGCTGCACCCGAACCAGGGGGAGCTCATATCCGGGGACCAGCTGGGCATGATCCGGGTGTGGGACCTCACAACCGGCAGGTGAGAGAGGAGGCCGGGCGAAGGCTGGCCGCCGCGGCGCCTCTCCAGTGGCGAAGGGATGCGGCGGCTGTTGTTGAGATTGGGTGCGCAGGGTGCCGTCGCCTCGGCGCGTGGTTCAATGCATTTGGACGCTGCGTTCGCGCTTGCTCGCGCCTGCGCCCCCTCCCGCCCCGCCGCACCCGCTCTCCCCTGGGTGCGTCGCCGAACATTAGATTTCGAAACATTGGGCTTCAGGCCCCCAGCATTGGCATCGAGGCATGGCGAACCACGCTGGCCAATGCCCATCAACGTCCTTCCATTGAATGCCCATTCAAACGTCCTCTCACCTACCAGTCCTGGTCGCGCAGAAGCGAGAATTGTGAGAATTGTGAAAGCTGTGGGACTTGGGCGAGTTGCGGGAGTTGTGAGAGTTGAACGCGGCTGTTTGCGCGGTCCCTGCAGGTACACCTGCGAGCTGGTGCCCGAGGTGGGCGCTCCCTTGCGCTCCATCGCCGTGGCGATGGACGGCAGCCTGCTGGTGGCGGCCAACAACAGCGGCGTGTGCTATGTTTGGCGCATGATCCGCAGCAACACCTACACGGCGCGCTTCGAGCCCCTGCACAAGCTGGCCGCCCACCCGGGCAGCTACGTGCTCAAGGCACTGATCAGCCCCGATGTGCACCACCTGGCCACCGTCTCCAGCGACAACACGGTCAAGCTCTGGGACCTGGGCACCTTCAGGATGGACACTGTGCTGCAGGGCCACACGCGCTGGGTGTGGGACTGCGTGTTCTCCGTGGACGCGGCGTACCTGGTGACGGCGTCATCGGACAGCACCGCGCGACTGTGGGACCTGGCCACCGGGCAGCCGATCCGCACTTACAACGGCCACTCCAAGGCGCTGACGTGCTGCGCGCTGAACGACAGCGCGCTGAACGAGCCGGACTACTGAGGAGCGGGCCGCGAAAGAACGGGAGTTGGAGGATTCAATCAGCGGTGCGCCTTTGCGGGAAGTGGCGAAAGCCGACTGCGGAGAGGCCTGCAGGGAATCGCGCAGCCACGGGCCCAAGGTGAAGATGGATGTCGGGGAGGCGCGAGCCGAAGTAGCGAAGGCACTGACCGTGATTGGCTTTGAGAATTCCTCAGCCAGTGAGCTCCATCTGTGCATGTGATGGCTGTGCGCATAGCAATGCAGCCACAGAACAGCAGAAGATGCCTCTGCTCGTTGCTGCCGCTGCCATCGCCTGGAATGTGCCATCAACCCCTTCAAATTGGCAGACATGCTCACAATCTCGGCTCCCCAGTGTGCATGTGGTGTGTGGGGCTGCTGTGGCACCAACTTGCTCTCCTTCAGGGACACGTTGTGGACATTGTGTGTGCCTCTGGAACTGGCTGTCGAGTGGGCACGGCTGTCCCTCCAATGCAGTGGGTACCATCTGTGCCTTGCAGGAGCGTCACCATATGATGTCTAGCCAACATGAAGCACAGCTGCCTTGCAACGCCCAGCAAAGCACATCGTTTGAAGCCCGCTTGGCTGCTGCCACCCAATCAATGGCACCATCAACTGAGAGAGTCCCATCAACTGCTGCAACCGCAATATCTATATTGAAGGCTATCATGAACCAAGCCTACACTGCTTTGTCATCCAAGGAATGTGGATGAAAGTGTTGGAATGCGGTAGTCCAAGAGATGTTCTCAGGCTTTGCCTTTGATTCTATCCATGCGAATTAGGACATTGTCATCATGGGTCAATAGCAGCTCAGCAGCAACTTGGCTATCTTCTCTTGACACAGGTGGACCTTGTGCGGCACGATCATTGATAGTTTTTCTTGATTCCTGTGATTGAGTGCTTTTTGGCTGTGGCCACATCTCTCAATGGCGGATTGAAGACGCCGATGGCAGTAGGATTGTGTGTTGTTTACACTTGCCCGGATGCAAACACGAATTTTGTCTTCCTTTCGTCGCAGATTGAAATGCAAATGGTGGCTGATGAGTTTGTCAACAGCTGAACAGCTGAAGAGCTGAATCAGTATATGAACACAGAGAGCTGCACTGTGGCCAATGCGCGAACTCTCATACATGCAGTGTGCCTCACTGTCTATGAAGCTCCTGTTTCAAACGGGTCTTTCCAGTCCTTCAGACGTTGCTATCAAAGATCTGAACAGTGGTTGGGTGCGGGATTGGAGGCATTCCCTTACGATCGGCACGTTGCCAGTGTTGATTTTGCCACTGCGTGCATTGGCTGGTTGGCTTTGGCTGACTGTGCTGTTGAGCGCTCTGTCTGCAGTTTTCGGACATGGATGAACGAAGAGCTTGTTTTTTACCCCTCCTTGGTACAGAGGAGTGTGGTTGCCTTGGGCACAGACATGTGAAACCTCTTCGTCACACAATTCGCAGGTCTTGGGCCATTCTTGTGCTCTCTGCCAGAGGCCTGTGATCTTGCTGGCAGTAGACGGTGATGATGTCAGCGGGGTGCTGCCACAAGCCTCAGGGACACCCATTTTAGCTTGGGGACAGTCATGCCTTGACGTTGGGATGGACACAAGGCGATTTCCGTGGTTGGCAAATCGCGGGTCATCTTCCGACTCAACGAGACACATGGGCTTCATTAATCAGATCGGGCAATACGAGCCAGGGGACGTGAAGGTCGGTGAAGTGGTGACAAATTCATAATTCCGTTGTGTGGAGAATGAAGCAATCTATTGAGTCATGGCGGCCTGCGTGCATTGTCTCCTTTGTGCAGGATTCGTGCCAGCCGGTGGAGGCGAAGCAAGCAATACTTCGCCAAGAAACCAAGATCTGAATCAGCGCACTGCTGTAAAGCCTTCAGCATCGGAAGGGCACATCGGACTCCGACGGTCTTCGCCAAGCAGCCGTCGTTGCATTTTCTCCCACGGATGGCATATCCAGCATGCCGCCCCTGGAAGAGCCATGGCAGCCGATTATGCATTTCCGCACACCAGAATTGCCCACCGGAGGGGGATATGGTCCCAGTGCGACAATGGATAAAACTTACCCCTGACACAGACAACGATGAACACGTTGCCTGCATCATCACTGTGACGTTACGCTTGCGTGCGCACCTTCTGTCCCTGCAACAAGCTCCCCCGGCGCAAGGTAGAGGCAGCCGAAGATGTGACTGTAAAGTTCCTCCCAAAACTTATACCCAGTCAGTCCCCCTTGCCACCATCTCCCTTTTCGCTCAATAACTATTCACCAAAATGCATACGCATGTTTTCCAACAAAGCAGGGTTCTAATTTCTGTGTCGTCACAATTATTACGCCCGTGTACGCTAGTTATGCAATACATACGGACAGAAGACATTGACACCATGGTTTGGTGCAGGTGATTGGGCGAAGCTTCGCCGATATTTGCGCGAAGAACACAACAGAACACCTCTCTATCCCCTGTGTGACATCGCACAGCACATGATGAACAGCCGCCAACGCCTTGCACTTTCTTGTAGTGTGGCGCATGGCCCAAACCTCGTCTTCTGGAAACGCAGTGCGCTACTTGGAAGAAAACAGGCCGTCGCCCGTCTTTCAACCCTGCAATTCCAAAGAGCCGCTTTGCTCTAAGGCCTTGAATGTGGCTTTAGTGTAGCGCCGTGCAAAAGACAGGGCTCTGGAGACAGCCTTGTCTGGCCCAGCTTTGAGGCCCCCCCAGAGCACGCCGCATGCTTTAATGCACTTTGACGAACCCACCCTCAGCACTCCGTGGACACCTTGCGGGGCTTCTTGTCATCTTCCCTGTGGATGCCGTCCCCCTCACCGGAACATTCCCGAGTCAATCCAGTCAAAGTACTGAAGCATCTCCCCCATGGCGTCCTCGCGCAACGGAACGGCGCACCTCGTGTTCCTGTCCACCCCGCCCCCAGCTTGACGCCCTCGGCGCCTTTTCGAAAGAGTGGACACGCCGCTCGCCGTGGCCATACAGCCTCTTGCTGCGAGCGCCGCTCGCCACCGTAGCTCGACATCCCCCCCGCCTTGCCATCCCAAATCCGTCACGTTCGTTGGTCCAACTCCAGGAGAGTGCCATCCGCACATGGTCCACTACAGATTCTCTGCGACGCTGCCGTTGCCCGCGGCCGTCTACTTCGTGGAGCGGGACACGGACGCCTTCCGTCGCCTCCTGGCCACGGTGCGCCCCCGACGTCGGATGCGCGTCAAAGCCGAATGCTGTGCAGCTCGCACACGACGTGTCCCGCACGCTGAATGCAATTATTGGCCGTCGGATCGGAATGGCTCTGGGCGGGTGACCTGGAGTGGCGCCAGGGCCCTGCGCTCCTTTGTGGGTCGCTGGCGTAGGGGCGGGAAAGGCAACCTGCGTTCAGTCGCAGGATAGGCACGCGTGCTGTGTGTGAGCAGGTGGTCAAGTCAGCTGCCACGTCAGGCACTGCCACCATCAAGTCACCACAAAAGGCCCCCTCCGCCTCCGGACTGGGTGGTCCTGTGGCATCCTTTTTCCTTTCCAACGCACCCTCAAGCCCAAGCCAGAATGCTGGAGCGAGAAGGGTTTCAGCAAAAGGGGGTTGCAGCACCGAGGGACGATGTACGACAGTTGGTGCTTTGATGCCTGGATGTTGCCGCATAGACACATGAATGCAAACACGCGCGGGATGGTGGACGAACGGCATGTTGCAGAGAAATTGACTGCGTTCGGTGGACAAGACGCTTTGCTGGCGCTGGTCCCAAGGCGCCGAACGCTGGGAGCAAAGATTTTGGCGCAGCGGTGTGCGCCCCAGGGTTTAGGTACAGAACTTGCCACGCGACCTGATGCGCTGGCACCTATTCAATCGCTCCCCAAGCAACAATCGCTCTTTGAATTTAGAAATTTGGGATAACGGAAGGGGCCAGCAGCATCCAAGTAGTCCTGGCACTGACAGCGGATTGCATGGAGCAGTGCATGTCCCTTAAACGCCAATTGCATTCTGTACTTGGGAACAGGATTACTTAGGGATCGCTAAGCCAGGTGATTTGTAGCCGAATTTCAGAAATCCGCTGGCAGCGCAAGTATTGGGCGCAGAGCGTGCATTTCGTGCAATGATGGTCCCAGTGCGAGGCGGGTATCATTAGCCTCTTTTTGGTTGAGCAATAATTTACCAGCATTCGCCCCCCACGTTTTCCTTTCATTTTTTCGGGAGCTTTGTGAGAAAATGCTCAATGCGGACATGCCACTAAGCTGCACCCGCTGAAGATCGAAATCACAGGCCGTAGTTTGCTGTCATTGGATGCTTCAGTGCGCATTGTGGTCCCAAAGTTGCAGGTGCCTTGCATTCGCCAAGAAGGTGAGTGCAATCAAGGCAGGCAAGTCCGCATTTGATGCGAATTCTTTCGCACTAGGCTAAGCCCAGGTGCTGGTGTTGCAGGCCCTGCATATGGGGCAGCTGCGCCTGCTGGGAGCATGGCGGGCGGCGGATCTGCACACGCTCCGCATAGCGACAGAGCCCAGCATCAGGGAGTACATACCCACAACCGTGAAGGCCGCCCTGGGGCTGGACAAATTGAGGTTTGAAGACTTTGTGCTCTACCAAAAGGTGCGGGCGGTTTCAAAGCTGCGCAATCGCACTCGAATCCTCTTCCCGCTTTCTCAACAGGAATATTTTTTTGCCCCAGTTTTTTCGACAGTAAGCACACTCTGAATGTTTCGAGAGTATTGTGCCGCATTCTCTCGGTAAATATTATCACCCAAATCCATATGCGTGTTTACCAACAAAGCAATGTTCTAATTCTCGTTGAATATTGGATCTTCAGTGTTTTGGCGCTCCTTAACAGGAATTCCCTGGCCAAGGAGAACTAGTGAGCTTCGCTATGCATTCCAAATGGCCATACCGGAGCTGACAGTGTAGCTTGCAGGGGCCCCAGAATCGTGTCCCGGTTACTGAGGCGACGCTCATGTGCTAAGGCGGTGGCCTCTATTTTCGTGCGTCAGGATAAAGTAGCGGGTCCAAT